CGGAGCTCCCCATTGTCGTATCCCACGGCGAGGGCCGCGCCAAGTTCGCCTCGCCCAACTCGCTGCAGGCGCTGACCGAGGCCGGCATGATCCCGCTGCAGTACGTCGACAACCGGGGCAACGTGACGGAGCAGTACCCGTACAACCCCAACGGCAGCCCGATGGGCGTGGCCGGCGTGGCGAGCCCCGACGGGCGCGTCGTGGCCATGATGCCGCATCCTGAGCGGACCATCATGGCGGACATTACGAGCTATGCTCCTCCGGAGATGGTGGAGGAATGGGGCGAGTTTGGGCCTTGGCTGCGGATGTTCCGGAGCGCCCGTAGATGGGTTGGTTGAAAACGACTCTGGACACAGGGGTGTATTTATGCTGTTTTTGTATTCTTTCTTTGTGTGTGTAAATCAAATAACTAGAAAATATCCGACATTGAGGGAGGCGTAGGGTGGGATTGCTTGATATAAGGGCTGGTATATGGGATGGCTATCATCAGATGAAAGAAATAAGATTGTATTCAACACTGAAACACTGAACATGGACTGCCCATTCCACTGACTCATCATTGAAACACGGATGAATGGGGTATTGTTTCGTTATTGTCATTGACAAGTACGTAAATAGATAGGTTACGTTATGTGCAGTATTACTCCGACTCACGAGTCCAGTCCCATATGCTTTCTCTTCCCTCAACGAAACACGAGTAATAGGGGTATTTCCTGCCTTGCCTTTTTTGCTTTTGCTCATACCATCATTGCAAATTATTGGTTTTCTTTTCTTTGCCTTGTTTTCCCTCTTTCTCGGTCATATCGTTTCTTTTCCTCAGAATGCCGGGCCCTCCCATGCCTCCCGCCATAGTCTCACCAGCCACGCTTGCTTGTGCGGAAACGAAACCTGCCTCTCCTTGCCAAAGCCCGCCTCATCCAGATGCCGCAACATTCTACCCAACACACCAGTTAGCAAAGCAAACCAACACACCTTGTAACTAAGGACAGAATTCAAATAGGACATACCGCTTATTATCGACCCTCGGCTCCAGACAAACGCTCATGGTCCGATTATCGTTCAAAAAGCACCACTGCACCAAACTCGTCAACCACGCAGGCACCCTCCCCCTCGCCCACTCCTCCCCGACAAACACATGTATGCCGCGATCAAAGTCCCCCGCGCCGTTGGCCAGGTGCCGACCCAGTATGTCCTCCTTGACCCAGTAGATCTCGACGTAGCCAAAGGGAATCCCGTTCCACAGCGCAATGGCGGGGAACGAGTGCCGCTGCCGCAGCACGCCCTCGAGGAAGCCCGGCTTGTACTCGCCCCAGAACTCGCTGACGCGGGGCTTGGCCATCCACGTCTGGAGGAGCTGGGCGTCGGTCAGCTGGGCGAGGTGCGTGTGCTCGGGGGCTCTGCCGCCCACGGGGCCGAGGTACGGGACGGGGTGTGTCGACGTGGAGGCGACGCGGAAGGAGAGGTACTGGTTGACGCTAGGGATGAAGCGCGAGTAGAAGATTTCGCCCATCCTAGGGGGCTTCGACCGCACGGGGTGTCGGACGCCGTCTGTGACTGTGTACTGTAGTGTCAACGGGGGAAAGTATGTCGGGAGATGCGAAGTCGAGTAGAACGGCCCTATGGGAACCACGGGAGCATGGGGGACGCTCGTCGGCGTCGGTCCGCCGGGCAGGTCGCTGTCGAGGCGAGCAAAGCCGTCCATGGAGAGATACGGCGTGCGATTGCCCTCGCCGCGGACGGGCGAGCTCGGGCGGCTAACCACGGGCGACCCCGGGACGGACGAGTTGTAGGCCTTGTGGTTGGGCTGCAGGGTGAAGAGGAACAGGTGGCCGGGGATCTGCCAGAACATGCGGCGCGAGACGAACATGCGCGCCCACTCGGCGCCGGCATCGTCGAGCCCCGTGCCGCACGAGGGGTCCTCGGCGGTGATGAGCCCCATGCGCTCCAGCTTGGGGATCAGGTTGCGGCCGCGCAGGACGCCCTCGCGCTTGATGTTGATGCGCCACTCGCCGACGGGCTTGGCCTCGTCGGGCGTGTTCCTGCTGGCGGCAGTGCGCAGGCGGCGGTCGGGCTCGGGCTGGTGGAAGTACCAGTAGAGCGTCACCCAAAGCATCATGGCGATCTGGCGCGTGGGGCTGGCGGCGGGCTTGAAGTCGGAGTTGGACGGCTGGGAGATGGACGAGATGAAGAGGGCGTCGCTTTGCAGCGTCGGGAGCTTGAACGGATGGACGCGCGTCTTGGGGGAGGACGGGTCTCGGTCGTCGTCGTCGTCATCATCATCATCGTCGTCGTCGTCGTTGCCGTCGTTGGCGCGAGGATCGACCTCTTCTTCGGTGTGCAGGACGACGTTCCAGCCGACGGGAAAGGCGTTGGGGTGCATGTTCATCTCGTGGCTCTTGAAGCCGAGGCCGGCGAATACGGGGGTGACGGTGAAGGTCTGGCCATCGGGGAGATGGAGGAGCTGGGGGGCCATGGCGACGAGGCTGTGAGGAGCTGTATGCGATGCGGGATCAAGCAGAAGAGGAGGAAGAGGAGGAGGAGGAGGAGAGGGGGGAGGCTGAAGGAGAGGCTGAAGGTGACGACGATGCTGGGCAAGGAAAATAAAAGCCGGGCGTTATCGTAGCTGTTTGCAAGGATGGAGAGCCGATAGATAGCATCAGCGATATGCCATTTGTGTGGAGAATTGAGCAGGGCAGCTACAGCTTCAAAGGCAGGGCGGGGGCGGGGTATCAAGGATGAGGGCAGAATGAGAGGAGAGAGAGAAGAGAAGCTGTGAACTGGGGTGACGAAAGAGGAGAGCTTAAAAGAGCTGCAGTACAGCGGTTGAGGAGGCTAGCTAGAGCTCTCAATTGTATCGTATCTTATTGGACGAGAGGCTGATTTGCCCCGGATTTTGTATCGTTAACTGCGTGTAAGTCGGCGATGACGACTGAAAGGGCATTCAAATGGATGCCATCTGATGTCTTGCATATCGGTTCTTGGTTCTGGAATGCGTGGAATATCAATTAACGAAATATTTTGAGATTCTCGTGACGCAGACGACGTGCAACAGATGGGCCCATGGTTCGATCAAGACATTGAACCGGCAATAGTGCCATCGCCTGGCCCTACAAGGCGACGGGAGCGACAGCTGATTGTGGCAACGCTAGGAATAAACAGGGCGAGGCTCGGTTTAGCGGATCGTCGATTCTAGTATGAGTATTGAGTCATCTGGATCTGACGATGTGATCAGTAGAAAAGTAGATGGTTGATTGATCAGAATGCAAGAAAAGTAAATACATGTCTGCATTGTACAAGTACTAAGGTAGTAGTATTGGCAAAAATGACCATTGCTGCCGTTCCGTACATTCATTGCCCGCCTGCTCCTCTCACCACCAAGATAACGCCCATCCATACCCTCCCATCTACTACTGAACAGAATACGCTTTAACGCATGATGTATGCTCTTTACATATACAAGCACCTCACTCAATTCCCCTTGTTCAACTCCCGCTCCTCATTGCTCTTCTTCTCCACCTCCACATCCTCCACATCCTTGCCCTCCTCCTCCACCTCGTTCTTCTTGCCATTCTTCTCCTTCTCCAACACCTTCTTCACCTGCTTCCCGCCCAGATCCTTCATCTCATCCCAGTCCACGCCATACTCCATCGCCACGGCTTTAATCTCCCGCCGCAATGCATTTGCCTCGTGCAGGAGATGCTCCCACTTCTGCGGATCAAACCCGCGCTCCTGATATAGCGCATGCTGCCTCCTCGACACCGTCACATTCATCGCCGCCTTGTAGCTCAGATCCCTGCTGATGAACAGGAACCACAAGTATCCTCCCATAATCGTCGTAAGCCCAGCCAGGTAGGTAATCGGCTCAACCAGATCCCACCCGAAATCCGTGTGAAAGGTCACATAGTAGACAACACACCACCAACTCGCCAGGGCCGCAAATCCTCCCTGCGCCAGGCGGTGAGCCCCCTTGTGGGCAGTCAGGTCGCACTCGGCCTTGATCTTGGCCAACTCGTCAATCTCTTTGGACATTCGCCGCAGCTGCAGCCGCATGTAATACGTCCGATCCTTGAAGCTGGGCACCGCCACCCGCAGCTCCTTGTTGTAGCCCTCAATGTTGATGGCAAACTCTCTTCCGCGCGCAGCATCCCGGATAAAGTCGCCCACTTCGGTGCTGCCGCTCCATCGAACCCAGTTCGCCTCGTTGTCCTTTGCAGGGCCCTCGTGGCCGAGACCTGAATATGACGCCACGTTACTCTTCCCCTCGCTGCCGGATCTGCTCGAAGACTCTTCGTGGTCGGCCTCGGCTCGAAAGATGATGTCGGGAAGCTTCTCGCGCCCATTGACATTCAGAGGGGGTATCTCCGCCTGGATCAAGCGCTCGAGGTACGATAGCGGTTGTTGGGGGTGTACCAGCAGCGCCAGCGCCTCAGCCTTTTTGCCATTTTTGCCAATTTTCTGGTGGTCGCGTCTTGCGTCCTCGGCTTCGTTGATAGTCTCTTGCTCGGGATGGAACGGCATGGGCAGGATAAGCTTGAGCAAGCGTGTAGGTGTCGTCAGGAGTCTCCCTATCGTGTCCAATTGTTAGTTTTGTTGACAGCCCCGCGACTGGGAAACTGGCGTCAACATACCCTTTGACTCGTCGCCTCCCGAAGGATCGGGCGACGTCACTTTATACTGCTTGCTCCCGCTCTCTCGATGCCAGGGCCTGTCGTCGGCCTTCTTCTGGGTCTCGGGCCGCTTGGCCGCTTGCTCCGTCTCATCGTCGGCCTTTTCGTGCAGTCGCTTCGCCTTTTTCTCCGCTTCGTCTTGTCGAACGGTCTGAGATGCTGAAAACAGCCTTGAATGGATGCCGAAAGGATGACGAGATGCTGTGGTTTCTGTCCGTCTGAGCAAACATGAAGGCAGCGACCGCAGCCTCAGGCCTTGTCTCCCCGAAATCGGGGGCAGGACTCTCAGCGCCGCTCTCGCACCGGCACAAGGACCCAGCATTGTGCTACCAACCGCTCATTCGCCAGGCGACGGAGTGATTAGAGTTTCGATCAGAAAAGAATCGAGGCTTTTTTTAAGCCTTTTGATACTTGAAACGTCACAATGAAAAGCACAAGTAAACAAAGAACAACTGAAGAGCGGCCAGCTGGATGAAGCCAAACCTGGTTCTACCTATACTAAGGTACTCGTACTAGGCCAAACCATGACGTCACGAGCCTCTCTGGCGATTGCGCCTCTTGTACCTTGTACCTCCCACCAAAACCCCCAAACTCAATTTCTTGCCCGAAATAGACCCTGACAAAGGCGCGGCAGCCAATTGCAGCTCGCCGCTCAGCCCAAAGCGCTTGATGCCGCGATGGCTTCAACTCTAACGGCCAGGCACCTCCAGCCTTAACCGTTGAGGGTTCATCGATACTCCATATCTGGCCTGTTGCCGTGACAATCATACGCCACTCTTTACTCGGCTGCAATAGTCCAGTGTACACAAACCTGATTCCGTGAGAAGCGCTGTCCTGATAGACTTCAGACTGAGGAGGCATTCCCTCGGGCCGAACCTCGTCATGGGCCCGTCCAGAGACGAGCGAGCCAAAGCGGCCAAAGCCTTTCTCAACAAGAAGCTTCCGGCGATACTAAAGTCCAATGCCAGAGCCAGGAGAGGAGTCGACAGCGCGCAGTTGATCGTAGGGCTCCCTCGTGTACCCCCAAAGACCGCTACAGCAGCCACAAGCATAGAGTTCACCACCCAGCCAGACCATGTCCTTCCATCTTCGGCATCTCACGATCCTCTCGGCGAATCACCATCGGGTTCCATCCTGATATGGCCTGTTGATACCTTAGAAGCAGCATTTAGACTCTCAAAGTCTGCTCCGTCCCGAGTTGCCGTTCTCAATATGGCGTCTCCTCTTCGGCCCGGCGGCGGCGTCCTCACAGGGGCTACATCGCAGGAAGAATGGCTGTGCTCGAGAACCACGCTCTACCCATCACTCCGTGAAGAGTTTTACCGTCTTCCGGAAGTGAGCGCTGTCTACACACCCGACGTCTTGGTCTGCAAAACATGGGACGAGGATCCATCGGACTTGAAGCCAGGGAATCAGTTCTTCATCGACGTCGTCACTGCGGCCATGCTACGCCTCCCAGACCTCGAACCAAATCAACAAGGCGAACTAGTCTACTCTGAACGGAAAGACCGGGACATGGTCCTCGCCAAGATGCGTTGTGTGATGCGTATCCTTAGGGCAAAGCATATCAACCGAGTTGTCCTCGGGGCTTGGGGATGTGGAGCGTACGGGAATTCTGTAGACGAGATTGCGTCTGCTTGGAGGAGGGTGCTTCTAGGGCCTTCTGCTAGGAGAGCCCACGGGGCTGAAGTTTATGATGATTTAGAAATAGTGTTTGCTATCAAGGACGAGGCCATGTCTCGTAGGTTTGCACAAGCGTTCGGCTCGGAGGCAGTATATGAGGAGATTGGTGGCGTTGGCGATGAGGTCTAGCCTCGTGTTGACACTTGACGATAACACACCTAAGCCTCCACCACAGCACGCCTCGCTGCTTGATACCGACGACCCGGGTGCGTCTCTACGGTCTAAATGCTCCTATCCTTGATTTTGTAGCAAAGTTTACCTATTGAGGCGTTCTCGAGACTCAATCTGACTTTAGCCACGAAATTTTGAAGTTGCAATAGCCCAGAACAAGCCGGTTACCCGTAGACAATGCCCCATTGACCGGCCGTTTACCAGGACTACTTAATGTCCTCGTTCCCCCTGCTTCTTGTCTTTCTCTTCCTCATTCTCAGTCATCTATTCGTTTCCAGCCTTTGTTTCGAACAGCTCCTTGCTTTACAGCTCTATCACTTCGATACTCTTACAAACGCTGGATATTTTCGACTACAAGTCATACACAACTCACCACTCTATACCTGAATTGTAACTCAAGCTCAACTCCTATTTTGATTTATGCGTTTTACTGACTTGATCCAGGTGAAGTCCCATTCACGGTCTCACAACAATTTCATCATATTCCACCCTCGATACAGTCTACGGACACATACATTCACCTCTTTTCTTCGGTCATTCTACGACTCAGTCTCCACACGACCAGCATCATGCCTGCTCGTCAAGACCGAATCAGAATCACGAACACCATCGGGCCTCCTCGTGAAGACGTCGACATGGACTCTTTCGAGTACTACCTCAACCTCGCCATGGGTCAAATGGAACCTCAACGACCCTTTGCCCAATGGCAGCAAGACTCCGACACCAACGGGGTTACGGAGGCCCCCCAGGGAGAAGATGAAGACTTCGAGGGTGACACCGAGATGCTTGGCTCCAAGGACAAGGAGAACGACCCGAGTCTCCTCCCCGCCAATCTCCCCGAGCCTGGCAGACGCCCTCGTCGTCGCCAGCAGCAGCAGCCCCAGCCCCAGCCCCAGCCTCAACCTCGTCTCCGTCCTCGCAGGAAGGTCAAGCTGACCGACCCGGAGCTCGACTTTGAGATCTTCGAGGACGAGACAGCCACCCCTGGTCAGCCCTTCCAGCGGGAGTACTACGGCAGCAACGTCCCGGCCCTGGGCGAGCTCAAGAACGGCGAGCAGTTCGACTACGCCATGGCTCACTCGCTCCGCCAGAATTACAAATATCTGATGAGACTGGCCCTTGAGAACGAGGACGAGGACCTGTACAAGCTGCTGATCAATGTCTACGAGGACCGGTACACCACCTGGCAGCGCTTTTCTGGCGCCATGGAGTGGATCGTCGGCTGCAACCCCATGGACGTCTGGCTTTGGGTCGAGGACAAGGGGTACCACAAGCGCTGGACCAAGCACCAGATTGTGCATTTCAAGGAATTCCTCACGTTCATGAACACTTGCATTCTCAACGGCATCGGCGTCAACGACCCAGTTGCGGCCGAGAATTTGGACAACTGGAACACCACCCTCATCACCAGCCGCTTCAAGAGCTTGGACCTGCCCAACCTCCACATGGTGAAAAACAACGAGATGAGGGTGTCGTTCATGCCCAACGGCCCGGACGAGAAACTCCTCTACAGAGCGGACTACACCGCCGAGGAGCTCGCGGTCCTCGATGCTGGGTGGGAGGGGCCGGGACGGTGGGCTCCGGGTGAGGAGCCGGGGCCGGTGCAGGGGCCGATGGAGAGGCCGGCGGAGATGGAGATGGAGGAGGCTGAGGAGAGCGAGAGAGAGTGTGATGAGATGCTTGTGGACTCGGAAGAGTCTGAGAGAGAGGAGGCCGATTATGTGGATGAGATGTTTGTGGACTCGGAAGGGTCTGAGAGAGAGGACGCCGATTATGTCTGGGAGGAGAGCTCCATGGAGAGCTATGAGATGTCTGTGGACGAGCAGGAGGAGGAGGAGGAGGAGTCTGAGAGAGAGGAGGCCGACTATGTCTGGCAGGAGAGCTCCGACTTGATTGCCATGTAAGGTGATTTGGGATAAGTCGTGAGAATGGGATGATGGGATTAGGAGTTTACGGAAACGATACCCTGGTGATTTTGGTGGGATTTGGATACTTTGGGACCGGAGTCAAGCGCGGATGTTTACGGCTTCAGCGATGTTTAGAATAGTGAATTTATTGATACCCAGCGAATTTTGGCTCGATTTGAACATGTGAATTCTCCAATTATGTTGGCCATGAAGGATTGTCCACAAGCTGATCGGGCCGTGTCTATGGGAGGACATTTGCCTACTTCAAAGTTTTGTAGAGACTGAGAACAGGTATTGTACTGATGGTTTTATCACAACTGAACAGATACCATATCCCTCGTAGCTCTTCATTATATCACGAGTACAAGAAATGACATGAACAAACGTGAGGACTTGGTGTTTCCTGTTGTACAGAGAAACAGAGCTTATATACACGAAAGTACGAGGCCTATTTCCTGACCCAGACTGTAAATGCCAACTTGTTGCCTATTTTACCGAATTTGCATTCAACCACGGCCTGAATCTCGTCCGAGTACTGGAAGTTCGCCTTTTCGCTGGATAATGTTTTGTAGCAGGAGATATCATGGGGTCAACCTGTTGCAAAACCTTGTGTTCAAAGTGCTGTCGCTACTCTGTTGCACCATCGCCTTTTCTCTTCTAGTACATACCTCCTTACGGATACAAAATCCTTGGTGAAGGTATCTCAGGATGCTCATTGTCTTTGCGGGCCCAGTCGCGCTTGGAAGAGCCAGCTTAACTGACCCTGAGAATCACCATTCGCATTATTGTCATGCTCGGAGACCTTGCTTGAAATGACATATCAATTGGCTGTGTTCTGTCCCCAGTCTCTATATTACCGTTAGCCGGGCTATTCCTTCTATAAAAAGGACTGCTGAGGCTCTGAGTGCATGATGGGAGAGAGCATGCTGGTGGTCTCTGTGGTGTATGACAGACTTTATCATTCAACGTCGGATATGAGTCGATTTTTGCCAGTTGATGACTTGGCAGAGCCTTGACACGTTGATATCATCAGTCCAAGCTGACACTTTCCTGCCTCCAAGTAGAGAACCTTCTTCTTTGTTGACGATGAGTCTCTGCGGCATTGTGTCAGCTCATGCCGGCTTCTACCCCAACAACCGTAAGTTCTAGCAATCTCGATAGAGATGCGCATCTAATAGGTACCTCATATCCTGCAGAATGCACCCAATTGCTTCAATTCCTGCTCCGACTACGACTTCATAAGAGGGCTGTATACAACTGACAACTCCAAGTAAGGTAAGCAAGGCTCTCGTGCTTCGTACTCGTATCCATTCAAGTCCAGACCCCTGGCCAGCTCCCGCTCAATGGTGGGGGTTGCAGCTCCAGCCCCGCGCCCACGAGCCGAAAACGAGCGTCCGTTGCATCTCCCCGTTGGCTCTGATCAGAATAAGGGTCCGATAAGACGGATTGGATTCAATCCTTTCCTTCTAAATTGGCGCCGACACTTTGGAGGAATTGACAGTAGAGGCTAAGTACCTAGGTAGCTGGTACAGCCTAGCGTGGGGTTCCCTGTGCTCTGGTTGGCGCAGTGCTGGGCGGTGTGAAAGTACGGGTGACAGTTCGACGCTTTTGCGCCCAACGCTCAATTTCATTTGCCGTGCCTTGTTCTGTGCCATATCACCACCTCTCTTCTTCTCCTTCTTCCACCTCGACAAGAGCCTCGTTGCCATAATTCTATTTACTGATCCTCGAACTTGGTAATTACAAACAGTGCAAGACGTGGCACTATACAAAGAAACAAGCAGCCAATCCAGTCTCCTGTCGCAGCGCGTCGCATCCACCCCACCAAACCATCGCCATGGCAGACGCAAAGGTCTACCGCGCGAGCACCACTGCTCCCGTCAACATTGCCGTTGTCAAGTACGTCCAGCAATTGAGCCTCCAAGATGGGCTATAGCACGAGTATCAAGCCAGATAATCAAGTACTAACTAAGATGCCTTCAGATACTGGGGCAAACGCGATGCAAAGCTCAACCTCCCCACCAACAGCTCCCTCTCCGTGACGCTCTCCCAGAACGACCTCCGCACCCTCACCACCGCCTCCTGCTCCTCCACCTACACCGGCGACGACAGCCTGCTGCTCAACGGCGAGCCCTCCGACATCTCGGGCGCCCGAACCCAGGCCTGCTTCCGCGAGCTGCGCGCCCGCCGAGCCGCCCTCGAGGCCGCGAACACCTCGCTGCCCAAGCTGTCGACCTTTCCCCTGAAGATTGTGTCCGAGAACAACTTCCCCACGGCGGCCGGTCTGGCGTCGTCCGCCGCCGGCTTCGCCGCCCTCGTCCAGGCCATTGCCAACCTCTACGAGCTCCCCGACTCCCCCGCGGAGCTGTCCCTCATTGCCCGCCAGGGCTCAGGCTCAGCCTGCCGCAGCTTGTTCGGCGGCTATGTCGCCTGGAGAATGGGCGAGAAGGAGGACGGCAGCGACTCCATGGCCGACCTGGTCGCCCCCGCCTCCCACTGGCCGAGCATGCGCGCGCTGATTCTGGTCGTCAGCGCCGCCAAGAAGGGCGTTTCCTCCACGTCGGGCATGCAGCAGACCGTCGCGACGTCGGGCCTCTTCAAGGAGAGGATAACCACCGTCGTGCCCGCCAACATGGCCCTGATGGAGGACGCCATCAAGAACCGCAACTTTGCCCAGTTCGCCGAGGTCACCATGCGCGACTCCAACTCGTTCCACGCCACCTGCGCCGACACCTACCCTCCCATCTTTTACATGAACGACGTGTCCAAGGCGGCCATTCGCGCAGTCGAGGCCATCAACGCCCAGGCTGGCAAGACGGTTGCTGCGTACACTTTCGACGCCGGCCCCAACTGCGTTGTCTACTACCAGGAGGAGGATGCGGCGACGGTGCTGGGTGCTTTTGCGCCGATCCTGGCTACTGCCGAGGGCTGGAAGGAAGCCAGCGCTACAAACAGCACGGTCAAGTTGGATGAGGGCATCGCCGCCACCATCAAGGAGGGCGTCAGCAGAGTCATCATGACTGGCGTCGGAGAGGGTCCCCTGAAGACGGATGAGTTCCTGGTTGCCGAGGACGGCACGCCTGTGAAGCGATAGAAGCAAAAGCATTAGAACTGGGCGTTTGTTGGCATATGAGCAGTAAATACACACTGGCGAAAATATATATCGAATGTTTATACGTCAAATACCTATAGAAGGATCGAAAAAACGGATTGCCATGCATTTTCTCCTCGTCTGCCCGTGCAGATGCTGTTGCAGATCTGGCAGTTCCGGTCAAAGCTGCCTGCCGCTTGTGATTCACCTGCCTCGCACAATCGCCTCAACGCTTCGCTGACAACTTTCCTTCTGCAACCTCCAGCACTTCGCATTCACTGCAGTCCTAAGCCAAAACTCACTGTACTTCTTTTTCCTAGATTGAGTCCTGTTTTCTTCTCGTCTCATCTTTGCCATTCCTTCTTTTCCATCTCTCCGCGCGCAAACACCGTATCCTATGTTGGCAACCCTCGAGATCATCGCCCTCACTGCCGCACCTGAGATTCAAAAGGTGAACGAAATCTCGCCTCAGCTCGCACACGATGGCCGCATACCAGGAGCCGCAGGAGGATCGAGTCGAGAAAATCACGGACCTTCTCGCCTGGGGCAACGATGTCGACATCATAGAGCTCGACAAGTCTGGCCACGTTGTCCAGCGATGGCTGCACGCCCACGATGGCCACGTCCTGCCTGTGAGCATTTCCCCCTTGGCCTAAGCTCACCACCTCTCTAATATTCCCTACAGATCCAGCGCAAGGACAGATCCAACAGCTTCTTCTCCCGCTCGGCACGCGAATGGCGCAAGGCCGTCTTTGACTCGTTCCTCCCCGTCGGATTCCCGCACTCCGTCTCCAAGGACTACCTGTCATACCAGTTCTTTGACTCTCTCCAGGCCTTCTTCTCCACCATCAGCTCTCTTCTTGCCAATCGCGCCCTACTGCAAGGTCTGGGTGTCGGAGATGCTTCGTCCTCTGCGACGTTTGCCCTCTTGCTCACCATTCTGAAGGATGCCATGTCCCGTATTGCCACGATCGTGTTTGCCCACCGCTTTGGCCTTCGCATCGAGCCCGACGCAAAGCGCTATCGTTTCCTGGCCGACTTGTTCAATGACACCGCCTTCTTTTTGGAGCTCTACAGTCCGTATCTGGGTTCTTGGGGCAAAGTTGTCGCGCTGAGCACTGGTGAAGCACTTCGAGCGTTGTGCGGTGTTGCTGCTGGTGCCAGCAAGGCTGCGCTTAGTGTGCACTTTGCAAGACAGGACAATCTCGCCGAACTCAACGCAAAAGAGGCCAGCCAGGAGACGGCCGTGGGATTGATCGGTCTGCTTGTGGGCACTCTGGTCGTGAAGACGGTGGAGAGTCACTCGGCCGTTGTGCTCCTGATGATTGTCCTCGTCCTTGCCCATCTTGCCATGAATTACCTTGGCGTTCGCAGCGTTTGCATGAGCACTCTCAACCGACAGAGAGCGACCATCTTGTTTGAGGAGTATCTCAAGAGCGGCAAGGTGCTTTCCCCGGAGCAGGTCGCCCAAAGAGAGAGCATCATCTTCTGGAGCCCCGCCATCCGCAATGCTCAAGGAAAGGAGGTCGTCCATCTCGAATATGCCGAGAGCTACAGCCACGCCATGAGCTGCCCCGATGCCCACGATAAGCTCATCATTGTCGACGGCGCCATGCACACCCGCTTCATCTGCTCTCGCGTCCCCGGCCGCCTCACCCGCATCAAGCTGCTGCTCTGGGACGGAGCCAGCCCGATGGATGCCGTGCTCGCATGGTTTGCCGCCATGGAGATTGCGTGGCTGATGGACAATGACGGTGCCTATACGCAGAAGCTGGATGAGCTATTTTGCGATGCCGGCGTCGAGGGCAATGGCAGGAAGTTTAGCATTGCAGGTAAGGACAGGGACAGCGAGTTTGTGCCGCGGTACAAGAGCGAAGACCTTTTGGACCAGTTGAAGCGGCAGGGATGGAGCGCTGATGCGCAGGCTTTGGAGACGAGGGCTCCTGTTCGGCTGCAGGTCCGCAAGAGGCGAGTCAAGAATTTGTAGATGCACCCAAATTCTGCTACCAACGAGCCACGAGCGGGGAGGCAAATGGGCGATGGAAATGGCTTCTCAAGAGAGTTAACCTTGACTGTAAATGGGGCCGAAAGGGCGGAAGGTGTGGTATACAGATAGTAAGGGAAGCATCGGATGATGCTATGAATTGATGAATGACATGATACCATGGCATGAAAGAGTCTCTAAGGAAGTACTTTGTATGGGAGATTGTATTGTACAAGGAACTCCCCATAGGCTCCGTCTATCTATATGTCTAACGCAGCACATTGCCTCCAACAGAACGCCCTTTTTTTTCCCCTCTCAGATCATCCATAAATCATATCATGCAGCACTCCCTTGTCTCTCTGAGTCTTCTCACGCCAACCCCGTCCACCGCATCACCCTCATCTTGACGCCCTCCATGGTATTCAGCTTCGGCCGGACGTCGAGGTAGAAGCTCGGCCCTGCCGCCGAGCCGCCGGGCCGGCCGGCGTAAAAGTCAATCACGTAGTCGACGCGGACGCCGCAGCGGTCGATGACCCAGTCGTGGCGGTCAAAGGGCGCGGTGTAGCCGAGGATGGTGTTGATGCGGGCGGTCGGGGTCATGCGGGTGCTTTTGTTGGCGAAGGAGGCGAGTTTGGGGCCGGAGCATCTGAGCTTTCTGTTTAGCACTTCTCCTCATTGCATCGTGGGTGAGGGATCATGTGAGTGGAGTTGGGTATAGGGACGAGAGTTGTGATGGGAGGAGAGAAGGAGGAGACGTACTTTGAGCCAGCCAGATAGGGCGCCTCCCACTCCTTAATCTGCTGCCAGGCGCGCTCGTTGACGGCGTTGTGGATGGGCACGACGGTCTTCATGTCGACCTCGCGCGCGTCGTAGCCCTTGCGCTTCATGGCCTCGAAGAACATCTTCTCGGAGGGGTAGACCCAGTTGCCCGAGGCGGCGTCGGCGCCAGACTCGACTTCGGCGTTGGAGGGGGTGGGAGGATTGGCGGATGCGCCGTGGTCGACGGGGCATGTTTCGTCTAATGTGGTGAAGGAGCGGGGGATGGAGGAGGTTACGCGGGAGGTTTCGAGGGTTGATGATTGTCTTGAGGTTGAGGGTATCGCGGGGTGGGTTGCGGGGAGGTTTGACGGCGGTTCGGGGGAGGGGGTGGACCAGATGTAGGAGGAGATTGTTTGGGTCCATGAGGCGGAGGGTTTCGTGGAGGAGTGGTCGACGGGGCATTTGGATGCTTGAGGTTGTGAGGTTGGGGTTGAGGTTGGGAGCTGCTGGTTCTTGGAAGCTTCGGCTGCGCGGGCTTGGGCGAGCCAGGCGTCGCGGGTCTTGTGGTCGACTGGGCAGGCGTCTTCTACCATTTTGTCTGGTTTGATAAATTTGGAGAGTAACAAGTAGATGCCGCCGATGCGATTCGTTCAAGGGTGTTTTCAAAAGCGATTTCCGGCGTTGGCGTGGGCTGGAGTGGTTGGATTGGAAGTGGATGGATTTTTTGATAAGTGAGGCGGGCGCAAAAAGAGAGTCGCAACTTTGCGATTGCGATGTCGTCAGTTTCGGCCGGGGATTTGCCGGGCTTTTACGGATATAGATATGCGCATCGCTTCTAAGACGTTTTTATATCAAAAACATCTCTAAAATCAAGAATTCACAGTTGATTCAATAGATTCGGCATCAAGTATCTCAATTGGTGAACTGGTGTTCTCACAGATATTCCTGGATGAATTGCTCCGAAGCTTACAGTACAATCATACTGTCCAAGACGACGATCATTCTCCGCGAATCGCATCATCAAACTGCCGTGGTGTCGACGATGCCAAGCAGAGAAAGGTTAGAAGCCAAAGAAGCTTCCGGCATCAGATATGATGAGCCAGATATGCCTAGAATTGATCTCGATTTTATTGTTCCATTTGGTATAAATCAACGGTCCTGGTCCACATTTGTTCGCCATTGTGGCAGCGATGAAATCATATCGCGTTGCTCTGAGGTCATAGAGATGACATCGTTGCCATCCAGCATCTATAAGAACTGCTCCCTCGACGATGAACGAGCACTCGATCAGAACTCAACTATTCACAACTTCACTCATCACTCAATTGACTCTACTTACGACAAAATCATCATCTCAAGCTCATCAAAATGTCCAACTACGAACAGATTTCCCGCCAGGCCGAGGCAGACCTCAACACCTACCAGGCCAAGACCGGCGCCGCCCGTCCTCCGTCAAATAACGATGCCGGAGTCGACGTCAACGTTGAGAAGAAGTTCGAGGGGGCCGAGGTTGCTTACGGGGACGATTTGAGCACGAACAGAGGGTACAACAAGCGTATCCCTCCGAGTGAAGGAGGCGACCTTGATGCACGTGGAAGGTGAGTTTGTCACCGTCATCACTGTCAACACCTGAAACAAAATATTAACTAGATAATTTCATAGACAAGCTAGAGGCCATCTGTACGAAGGCCCAGGAGGCCCCGAGGACAAGATCGCCCAATCCTACAGCCAGAACCCCGGCCGAAACGACCCCGACGTCGTAGATGCGGACGTCGACGAGACGCAGGGCCTCAGCCAGAAAGACGACCTCCTCGCCCAGGGACAGGCCGCGTCCAGGCAGAACGTTGGCAAGAACCCGCCGGGCCCGGGAGGCTCGCAGTTCAAGGGCAGCGACTACTACATGCCCGAGAGCGTGCAGGACAGCATCTCGGCCGAGGGCTGGACTGCGCCGGAGAGCGTGACGCAGGCGAGTCGGGAGACGGAGGGGTATTCGGCGAACCGGAACCAGTAACTGAACGACGAAATATGAAAAGTAAATAATTGCAATGAAATGAAATGAAATGGATGAAAATGTATAATATCTTGGGTAGCAATTGAGGCTTGTAAGTGGATGTGTTGAAGCCATCTCAGGCTTGAAAATTAGCTGCGTCATTGCTCCAATGTCTTATCGTGGACCTTATCTGTGACATCCTCCAACCTTCGCGTGACCCACGTCAGCTACTCCTGTACTTCTCCAACACCTCAACTTGCGCCAAGCAGCGCTCTATTGACACAATCAACATAATAATGCTGTTCGCTCGGTGACGATTCACATGCGACCTTGATAGAATGCCGAGCCGCTCCCCGTCTTCCTCTGGACTTCTCCCCATGCCGGGCTCTCCCGCCTCCTCCTGGGCTGTCTACAGGGCCAGGATCAACAGCTTGGTCAAGCATCCCAACATGAGGGTCGTTGTCGCCTTCTGGCTCCTTGGTGCGCTTGGCCGACTTGTCAGAAACAATGTCTTTCACCCACAGCTGACCGTGTCTTCTTGCAGGCCTCATCAACAATGTCCTCTACGTCATCATCCTCTCCGCCGCCCAGGACCTCGTCGGCTCCCTCCCGAAAGGCGTCGTCCTCCTCGCTGATGTCGTCCCGTCCTTCTTCACCAAGCTCATTGCGCCGTACTTTATCCATCGCATACCGTACCCGATACGAGTCCTCATCTTCATTGCGCTATCCGCGGGCGGCATGCTCATGATTGCTCTTACACCGCCGTCCGAGTCGGTGCCGGTCAAGATGGTCGGAGTGGTCCTGGCCAGTCTGAGCAGCGGCGGCGGCGAGCTCAGCTTCCTGGGACTGTCTCATTACTACGGACATGTGAGCTTGGCCGGCTGGGGATCCGGGACTGGTGCAGCAGGTCTGGTTGGTGCAGGGTTGTATGTCTTGTTGACGGAATGGTGGGGGTTCACCGTGCAGCAGAGCCTGCTCTTCTCGGCCTGTCTGCCCGCCATCATGTTCATCAGCTTCTTCTTCATCCTCCCCTTGGAGCCACTGCGTCAAGGCAAGAAATACGATGCCATTCCCGGGGGAGATGTGGATGATGAAGTGGACGCGGGACAGGCGGAGCAGGACCTGGCAGAGAGCACTTCCGCTCTGCTTGCACCAGAGCCATCTGTCCTGTCAGCAAACACTGCGTATGCGATGAGTCGGGCTGAGTCGCACAATACGCTCCAGAGCAACCTGCGGAGAGCCAAGGCGCTCTTCATCCCGTACATGGCGCCCTTGCTGCTGGTGTACGTGGCCGAGTACACCATCAACCAGGGCGTGTCGCCCACGCTCCTCTTTCCCCTCGAATCCTCGCCTTTCACCGAATATCGTGAATTCTACCCCTTCTACGGGTTCCTCTACCAGATCGGCGTCTTCATCTCGCGATCTTCTACAGCCTTTATCCGCATCCACCACTTATACCTGCCGTCTTTGCTCCAGGTCGGAAACCTTGTCCTACTAACGCTGCATGCCATGTTCTTCTTCATTCCCTCCGTCTGGATCGTGTTCATCATCATCTTCTGGGAGGGCCTCCTAGGCGGCGCCGTCTACGTGAACTGCTTTGCTGAAATCATGGAAAACGTGCCGGCAGAGGAGCGTGAGTTCAGTCTCAGCGCCACGACGGTGAGTGACAGCGGAGGCATTTGCATTGCGGGCTTGATCAGCATCGTGATGGAGACGAGTCTGTGCGACTACCAGGTTGCCCATGGGCGCGACTGGTGCCGGAGGGTGAGCATTTCGCGGGGTTGAGGATTATAGACAGTTGTAGTCGACATCGTTAGCATCAAATGGAGTAGCGTGAATGGTTTAGTGGTAAAATTCTCCGTTGCCATCCGCAACGTCGGGGAGCCCTGGGTTCGATTCCCAGTTCACGCAACGTTTCTTTTTTTGCACTTGCAGCATTTTGTATATTTTTGTAGATATCACCCACCAATGATGGAGCTCATTATGATGAATGCGGAAATGGAATTCATTGTTGCATCACCTTAATTCAAGCCATCCGCGGAGTCGAAACTGGGCTGAGGGGTTTGAGCTAACCGAATGCACTTATTACTGGATGCATCATCATCTTGGCAAGCCATCGCCATCACCTCCTCTCGGCGACGAAGAGGGGCTGCATGGAGTGTGTGCTTCGCTTGGAAAGGGATGTGAGGTTGTCAACGTCATGTTGCTCTCTACACTTGTCCGGTTGAATCCGATTGCATGGTCAATTTGTTGGCAACTTTCTTGGCGGCTTACACACGTTGCTTGGCTGTGTTGTATGCATTCTGTCTCTCTTGTTACGGATCGAGCCGGAAGAGGCCAGCATCATTACGAGTGCTTGTACGGGAGACGAGGTAAGCACTGAAATCACCAGTTCGTGTCAATTCAAGCCTCTAGTAATTACATTCTCCAGCACTTGCAGCGAGTAAGCACCCACTGTCAGCACTCAACTTGTCCCAGCCAGCAGCTGAACTGAAACGATGGCTGCAGTCGTCTTACATGGAATCAGAACTGCCAGACCCTCACACACAATCGGGTCCCCATCAAGTCGATGCTAGCGCCAATCCTCGCAGCGCCCACCCAAAGCCAGAGATCCAATTCGCAAGCAGACCATCCATTGAACAGGCCCCTGCTAGCAGCGTCTGATAGCGTACGCAAGCCGCTGTGAGTGGGCACTGCAGGCCCTGAGAAACGGGGCCCTTTGCGCTGCAAGAAGTTCACTAGAACGTTGAATTCCGAACTCACCATTTATCGCCAAGCCGCGGCTTTTGGCGTCTGCTGCTACTGACAGACGGCCGCTTCTGTTAGCAGGTACCTTACCTGCACCATCTAAACGGTACGTACCCCGATAACGTGTCTAAGCCTCAATCTGCGTCTCCAGTTTCTTCTGCCCCCTTTTCCCTCTTCCCTCTCTTTTGCCTCCACGCGCCTCTTCGCCAAACCCGAGCGCTTCTCTATTCGACGCTGTCGCCAATCGCCTTTTCCTCCTCCCTTCGTTTTTGTGCTTCTTGTTTCTTGTTCGGCTTTTATTCCGTTTGCGTGTCGTCTCCCTAATAACTACTACTACAACTACTACCGCCTTCTTCTCTCCTTCTTTTGTGGCAGGCACACGAGTCATTGCTGGCTAGGGGTCCTCACTCTCACTCTCTTTATTTGCGACCGCGCAGCACCACAGCCGAGCAGAACAGAGCAGGGTTCCAGCTCTTCGATTTCGCAGCGACAGGCGGAGTATGCAGCGATAATGTTTGTCGGCGGCGTTCGATCCTCCAAGCTGTCGGCCCTCTTGGCCGGCGCAATCATCTTCATCATTGTCTTTGCTGGCCTCGTCTACAACCAGCTGGACGTTGCCGAGCTGCCCAACAGGTACGATGACTAGAGTCGCCGAGGGCATCGTGGATGTCGCACAGGAAACAGCTAGCTGACTGACCCATTCACAACCTGCAGGACGCAGCCAAACGCAGGCACCGCTCCCTCTGAGCCCTCCAAGCAGGCTCCCCCGTCCGAGCCGGTGAAACCCGTCGAGCCCGTCGAGCCTACCAGGCCCAAACAGCCCGCCAAGCCCGACATTCCCGAATCCAGCTTCCGCGATGTCTGGTTCGACGTGCACAAGCCGTCCATCACGCCCAACTCCAGCTTCTATCAGCCGTTTGGCGCCTTCAAGTTCGACCTCAAGCACGGCGTTCACTTTCCGGAACCCCTCGGCCACGATTTGTGCATCATCGATCTTGATAACCGCCCCTTTGATGCGCCTCACCAGATCTTCGGACCCAATGTCATGAGCTGGGAGAAGAACGCAGACAAGGTCCACGGCCTGTCTATGGGTGTTCTGAACCACTGGCTCTATGGTACGTTCTGTTAAAATTATTCGTACTTGAAGCCCACACTAACTCATGGCCTGCAGCCAAGATCCACGGCTACAAGTACTACTTTGTCGCCATTGAGAAGCCCGAGGACCGCCGCGCCTCGTGGAAAAAGGCCCCGGTCATCTCCACTATCCTCAAGGAGCACAAGACCTGCCTGTACCTCGACTCCGACGCCATCTTCCAGAATCTCGACCTTCCTTTTGAGTGGCTGCTGAACTACTGGAACCTCGACCCTCGCAACAACTCCCTCGCCCTGGCCGTGGACCCCAACCGCGAGTACAACAAGGACAAGTTCGGCAAGCTGATGCTCAACACCGGCTTCATCGTTGCGCAAAACAACCCCAAGACGTACGAGATCATGGACGCCTGGGCGGGATGTCCCGAGGAGGACGGCAAGCACCCCGAGTGCGTCGAGTTCCGCACCAACTCGCCCGGCCGGCCCACCGACCAAGGCGGCTTCGGCACCTTTATCCGATACGACTACCCCGACGACATCCGGCAGCTGCCCTGCACCGACGCCAACGGTTTCCCTAACAGCGATTCTGAGTGTGAAGGACGCTTCATCCGCCACTTGTGGACCGGAAAGGACAGCTGGATCAAGGTGTTTGTCGGCCAGCAGGTTCCCGGCCGCTATCTCGAGCTGTTCCACCAAGAGTTTCTCGACGAAAAGTCCGAATTCTACATTACCGAAAAGGATCTCATGGCCAAGAGCGCGGCCAAGGAGGACGAGTAAATTTCAGGAAACATCCGAAGAATGGGGACAAAGAAGGCCACGTACATGTACATGGCTCCGTTCTCTACCCCCACGACAGTATCGAGCAAATACATCTACAGCGGCATATAAACCAGCAATCGTTAATACGGCCACTTCATTTTCGCTAGGCCGTTCTTGGAACCACGCTCCTGGTTTCCTTGTCTTTTTTTATATAACACGACATGTAGGAAAGGGGGGCAACAAGAAAAGGCACAGCATGTTTTATCGTTTGGGAACGGGATCCGGTGCAGGATGCACGGTTTGTATATGTATAATCACGAAGCTATTGGTTCTATCGGAGAAGCATTAGGGATGCTGAGGATTGAGTAGAGGGGCATCGTATCGTAAATGCAAGGCCATGGCCTGCCAGAATATTTACAATGACTTGATGACATTTGGGGAATGCGTGAAACTAAGTGAGAGATTCGGAGTATCTGCTCCCAAATCGTCCATGAGGCATCCGATACAACGTCTGTTTTCTTCGAAAGTTCCATGGAGCAATACCAGGTTGATCATGTCAGACAAGCTGTTTGAATCATATCCGCCGGGTATATCATGAAAAGTGACGAGTAGGGGATAGAGAATATCACGAGATATAGCCATCAGCCCAGTCCTGCCCTATTTCAGATACACAAAGAAAAGACGGTCAAGCGTTTCAGTTATACAAGGGGGGTTTCTTCTTTTGACTCTGTTCAGCCCATATGACTCGGGTGCCTTATTGTGTTTATGACGCATCACGTAACTTTTGTGCCTCTGTGTCTGTGGAATCTGTGGCGGTGCTGTATCCTTGTGTTTGGGCGTGGTTTTGGGGAGCGCGTGACTGTTGTAGGACGAAGGTGACTTTGCTTGGAACGTTACTATATCGGAGGGGAGGTGGTCTTTTGCTATGGTGTCTTTGGAGGTTGAGAGATGCATGGAGCACTTCAGCCAGCAATCAACAGGCAGCAGGCCGGGGAGAGGGAGGAAGGGGGGATGAGGGACACGATTTGTGTCAAGGGTTTGGGGACGTGGTGATTGTCTTTTGTTTCAGAGATGCCTTCTTTTGTAAGAAAGAGAGTCGTGATTGCGTTTCAATGTCCTCACACTACATGCTGCGTACGGCATTTCTCCATCATACATAAATGTGATATATCCGGTCCACTTGATGAAACTCAAGCAATGCGTCAAGTGTCAGTGCAAGCCATGGCCGTGAGGGTATGATTACGAGGATTCAAGCTCTGTGAAGAGAAAGGACACGAGCAAACGGAAGAAAAGACGACGGAGTAGAAGAGTCACGCTGACTGACCCGCTTTCGAAAACGGGGGAGACAGATGACTTCATGTTTGGGTACAATGCTTTGGGTAACGGGGTAAAGGAAAACCTGCGAGGGCCCGGTTTGTGTGCTACGACAGGGCGCGGATTGCATGCGGGAGGAGGAGGAGGGGCGCATGTTGCCCCTTTTATTTAGGTATTTTTTTCCCCCTTTCGGTGAGGTTAATGAAGGGGTCCTAACGCGTAGGTAGAGCTTGGTGGTACCGGGTTGTTGGATTCTCGTGATGGGAGCTGTTCTTGGAAAGGGGGAGATGGGGGCTTCCAAGAGAAAGGGATGGGGTTTGGATTTTCTCGTCTGGGGAAGCAAGTCGTTGATATGGGTATTAGTAGATTGAACATGTCTAGAGTCTGAGGTGGTTTCAAGATCAGAGCATCCATATCCTGACGCGAAAACGTCTCTTGCCCTTCCTCGTCTTGCAAACGCGCAAAACGTCTCCCAACGAGAATAACCTCGCAAACACGCCATTCAAGCTTCTCACCCGCCTCTTCTTCGCCACAGCCATGTCCCTACTCGTAGCCACATCCGTTGTCAGAGCTGTAGCTTCGTCCTCCGTCCTCCTCCTCCCTCCTCTACACGCCTCCATCATAACCGCCTTGCTATCACCATCGACATGGTGGTGGTTGGCGTTGTTGTTGTTGTTGTTGTTGTGGGCATGGTCATCGGCGTCGAGGGCGCACGCCTCGCAAAACAGGTGCGTGTACACCTCGTCGTCGGCGCGCTCGTACCAGCCGCTGCGGCAGGACAGGCCGTGGCGGTGGACGCGCCAGCGGGAGAGGCTGCCGTTCCAGCAGGGCACGCGGTTGCGGCGGCGGTTGAAGGTGAGGAAGCAGGAGGAGCAGCGGTTCCAGGACTGAAAGTGGACGCACATGATGAGCGCGGGAAGTTGTGTTCTATGTGTGCTGTGTGGTTGTGTTTGTGATGGTTTGGTGGGTTTTTGATTGAGATAGAGGACCATGTGTGTGAGTGAAGTTGAGGATCGAATGTCTTTCTAGTCAGTCATGGAGATTCTTGGGTATTGAGAAGGGCAAGGCTGCGATCCTCAAGGAAGACAGGATGGCAAAGAAAGACGCCGTATTATATCAACTTCAACAGCCTGAAATTCCAACAAGGCGGCCTCCGTTATGTGTCACAAACCCAGCCTCATCGACACATCGATCCGAGCATCCACGAGGTTGCAAATCGCATGGCCCCATACGCACCGAGAAACATTCGACCCGTGCCGGCCTTTCTCGCAAGGGCAGGAAGATTTTAAAAAAAGAAATGTTTGCTTTTGCGCAGAGTTGCCTTTTATAGTTGGGCTTGTGAGACGTCGAGCCCTTGGTGTACCTTGGAAAAGCAAAACAGGAGAAACCTGGAAGAGAGAAAAAGACTCTCCTTGTTTCTTCATCGTCCGTCTTCTCTTTTCGAATTCCCGACGAAGCGCGGCTCCGAGGACCCTTGTTCCTTTAAATAGAATAAATCTGCGGCTTGTGTAAGTCGGGAGAGGGCCGTTGTAGCTGGATAGCTTTGTCTGAGCTGCTGCTTCACAGTCGTCCTGTGATTTCCCCCTTTTTCGCCCGTCTGCGCTCGTTTGGAGTCCCTCGAATGAGATGCCTCGAAAGCCCCTGAAGCATCTACCCATTCGCTCCCCTCCGTCGCAAGTCGAGCCCTCCTCAAGGTCACACCAAAACACGCAACTTTACGCGCAATATTCCACCGGTGACACAAGTGACAACTCATCCCCAAGGGGCGGTGCAGAAATGAGTGGCGTCGCTTAAAACGTCCACAAAAGATCATAGGACTCGACCGCCTCGTCTAGCCCTCTGTTGACCTTTGTTGCAGACGCCGAGTTTTCTTGTCCATTCGCATCAGCACTCCAGATCCGCCCAGACGACCATGTTCGCCGGCGGATCAGGCATCTCGTTGAAGAAGCGCGCAATCTCAGCGTCATCATACCGCATGCTAAAGTGCGTCAGGACAAACGTCGTGCGCGGCCACCGCCGGATCACAGGCTCGAGGTCCCGCCAAAACGTGTGCTTGGTCTTGGCCGCCTGGGCCTCGTGCTCGGGGTACAGAAAGCTGCACTCGGTGATGACGACGGGGATCTCCTGGCGCAGCCACTCGGGCCCGGCGGCCAGCGTCGCCGCCGTCGTGTCGCCCAGGAAGGCGAAGACGGGCGCCGTGTGGGCAGCCGTCAGCTCGGTGCCGGCGCGGCGCAGGGCCTGCAGCTCGGGGCCGGCCAGGGAGGCGAACTCGGGCCGCAGGCGCTGCGTCGTCTTGCTGAAGACGTAGCCCAGGCACGGCACCGTGTGGTCGCAGGCGAAGGCCGTGGCCGTGATGCCCTGCGCGCGGCGGAGCGGCACCGTGTCGCCGTCGCGCAGGCCGCGGGTCAAGTGCGTGTTGAGAAAGGCCGTGGCCGAGGGCGTCCGGCCCAGCTCCTCGCTCCGGGCAAGCACCGCGTCGTCGATGGGCAGGCCCCGGACCTCGGCGTCCTCGGCGCCAATCTCGCCGCCCAGGTTCAGCAGCGTCTTGGCCAGCACAAAGTCGTCAAAGGCCTTGCGCATCTGGGCCGGGCAGAAGACGTCGGGCGGGTCGTCGCGCTTGACAAAGGCCGGCGCCAGCAGCGTGTGGTCGCTGTGGCCGTGGGTCAGGAAGATGTGCTTGGGCCGCTGGTTGTTGACGACGAGCCCGGCGTCCAGCAGCAGGTTGAGCGAGGGGATCACAAAGGACGTGTGCCAGGCGGCGCGGGACCGGCCGGTGAGGACGAGCTGGCTGTGCGGCTTGGGGAACTTCCACTCGAGGACGTCGGAGCGTGGGGACTGGGGGAGGGGCGTGGCGAACCGGGGCTTGGGCCTTGAGGCGGCCATGATGGGCTGTGCTGGTGGTGGTGATGCCAGATGTTGTTGTTGGTTTTGTGTAGTCGACAGGTTGAGTGAGGCCAGTGAGATATAAAGACGACTTGTGGACCCCCCCGATGATCCTAGACAGTCTGATGTTTGTTGTCGTCACCGCAACATTCTCTCATCCGTCCAAGAAGCCCTCATAACCCACAGAATTGCCATAAAAGCTCGAAAATCTCTCATCTGAACTCGCCGTGATGGTCATGTTGATGGTTGTTTGATGCCTCATGCAGGGTACAGGCCTCGTAGCCCCCGCATGACTCAACCACCGGCGAATGAGTAAGAGCCGGCAAAACCCCCAACACTTGTTGAGAAATACTGGCGAATGATTTTCAGACCATACAATTCGCGGCTGCGAGATGTAACTTCAATAGCCAGTGATATAGTTGCTTTGCGTTATCCAGCGTGGGCTCATGGCAGTGGCTCGGCTGTTGCTCAACCGGGGCTGATGGGTCGGTTTCAAATCTATAGAACAAATCTATCCTTGTACGACTTGAAAACTTGTCCTGATAGGAATAGATGGCACCCTTCAGCTAAGATCAGACAACAAGGGCTTGTGTTTGGTTTTCCTTATTCATGATCAAGCTAAAAGTCGATGACTCTCGGAGAGTCTGTAGGCAGGCATCACAAGCCACAACCCCATACTACCAGCCTCGGGCAGCTTTACGCAAGATCCATCTTCAGCAACTTCTTTGTCATAACCCCAATTCAACAAGACAAAGATTCCCCAATCGAGCAATTGCCTCATTTGACGCCTCATTACCTCATGCCTATTGCGTAATACGGCGCTACGGCCCCGGCTCCTGATGCTTGTCCGTCGCCCGAAACAGTTCTCTCTGCCTCGGGATCACATAATCGTGGCTTCAACAGGATGCTTCTGTTCGATCTGACATCTCAACTAGATCCTTCTCGATTTCTAAGCTCACAGTCTATCGTAGGTAGATCTCGGCTTAGGCGTACCTTAGATCGATGGTTATATACGAGTCGGTTTGCCTCTGACGGTGGCTTGGGTCCAGTGGTTCGCGATTAGTGAGCTTCGCTTGCTATCGTGCTGAACATACGCAGGCTGCAGCTTTGTGCGAGCCTCTTGAAAGTTCCTTTGGGAGTAGTTACTGGCATACAAACAAGTTGGTGTGAAGCGACCTTACGCAGGTGGCTGCCACCCATCTGCCCGTAGTCTGATGCTACTCCCAGTGAGATGCAAAGATAGAAGGTTACATTGTGCCTGCAGTCGTGAATGTGCTGTCTGTATTAGGCCTATGTCGTGACAAGCATTGTGCCTTGTAGAGACAGGAGCATGCCTTGATGCTCACATTGCTACCACTTCCATGATATGTGTACAATATTGCCGAACAGGTAATATTGCAGCAGTTCAGCCAGATGCCATCATAGGGAAATGGTACGGGTGTGCTTCTCACAAGACATTCGAGGAATCATCTGCCGTGAATATCCCACGCATACCAAAGGACCCAACCCGCCGAAAGCCTCGCCCTTCTATGGATAGCTTCAGCTCGGCATCCTTCAGCTCACTTACACGAACGGCAATCACGAATTCATCTCCAAAACTCGGCACGGACATTATTCTGATCGCGTCCAGTATCCGCCGTGTTTCTTCAGGTTATGCGCCACAGACCCATAGCCAACAACTTGAAGATGAAGTTAACTTCTTACATGTTCTCTCCCTTCCTTCGATTCCTTCCGTGGCGTTGAACTTGGAGCGGGCTTCTTGCGGGCATTGTTACTTTGTTCGGGCATTCCAACCCTGGTTCGAAGTAAACGGACTGCTTCTTATCGAAGAAAGGCCCCGACAGAAGGACTTCACGTGGAAAACGCCCGATTGAAAAGTCATATCCAGCAGCCATCATGAACAGAAAAGCAATAATCAGAAATATGTATAGTAATCAAGATCCCATAAACTGGCATGGCGTCAACTGGTTACTGGCGATGTCATTGGAGGAATTGTTGGAATGCCTCGGCAGTTTGTGAGGTGTTGAGTAATCCGGAAATGCCCGCTTTTCTTTCGGACCCGGCCCGTTGGCCGGCGATCTGAGGCGCCTTCCGGATTACCAACCAGAGATTTGCTGGTGTATTCTTGTGTAATTCAATGGAATCCATGTAGGTGTAGTCAGTTGATGGGATGCAAGGGGACAATGGTGGGTGGGTTGGGGGGATATGGCTGCTTTAAAAGAACATGGGCCCCTTTGCCTGGGTGAGTGTCCTAATGCTTGCCCTAGTATTTGGGGTTTTCCAACCTGACCGGTCGAATATCAAGAGCAAGGGCTAATACGAAACATGCAGTGAACAAGAGACCAAGATTGAAAATATACGGGTCTTGGTTTGGACTTATACAATAGCGACATCGAGACACTCGTTAGAGTCGAGAACAAAGGGACATTCCCGTCGACTACTGAGGGCCATCAACATCGACCTGGACTCACTCAATCTCTCGACCTACCCCAACCGCCGTTGAAAGAAGGAGCAGAAAGAGAGGAAGGATCAGACACCGAATGGCATCTCCAGGGGTGATTGACGGCTCGACCGTGTCCGATGGCCAGGACGACAGGACATTGGTGGTCAAGCCGGAGGACCAGTACGGGAACAGCGACAGCAACAGCAACAGCGACGCCGAAAAAGGACAGGTCGTCCAAGATCCAGACCCCCTCGGCTGGGAAAACGACCCTCATAACCCGTACAACTGGCCCGCGTGGAAGAAAGCCCTGACGGTATTCGCTCTGGCCACCATGGGCCTCACGATGTAAGCCCCTGATCCCCATCTCCGCCGGGTATAACACTGTTCATCTCAAAGAGCAGTAGCAATTAACACAAGAAATCACACAGATCAACGGCCACATCCATCTCCAGCTCCTCCGTCAACCTCCTCCAAGAAGAATTCGGCGTCAGTCGCACCGTCGCCCTGCTCCCCCTGACGCTCTACGTAGTCGCCCTCGGCATCGGCCCCGTCCTCGGCGGGCCCCTCTCCGAGACCATCGGCCGGTACCCCGTCATCATGGGCGGCATGACAATTGGCGCGCTCTTCACCGTGGGCGCGGGCCTCGTGCACAACTTTGGGGCGCTGTGCTTCCTGCGCTTCCTCACGGGCTTCTTCTGGGCGCCCGTGCTGGCGAATGCGCCCGGGTCGCTGTCGGAGACGTTTATGCCCAAGTCGAGGGGGCCTGTGAGCGCACTGTTTATTCTCACTCCTTTCCTGGGTCCCGGCTTAGGGTGAGTTTGCCTTTTCATGGCCTCCTCCTCCTCCTCTTGATGTCAAGCTGATCAAGTTCAATGGACAGCCCCGTCATCGGCTCTTTCGTCTCCGTTGAGAAAGGCTGGCGCTGGACCGAATGGACAATGCTCTTCTTCGCCGCCCTCAGCATCGGCCTCGGCTGCACCATCGGCGAGACCTTCCATCCCATCCTCAAGCGCCGCCTGGCCAAGAAGCGCGGCATCGAGCTCCCGCCTCTACCCCCCCTGAGCCAGCGCATCAAGACGTTTGCCGTTGTCGCGGCCATTCGCCCCGTCAAGATGCTCTTCACCGAACCGATCGTCTCCTTCATCTGCCTCTACGTGGCCATTGATTTTGGAACTCTCTTCAGCTTCTTCGGCGGCGTTCCGTATACTTTTGGCACCGTGTACCACTTCACCACGGAGCAGTCCGGCCTGGTCTTCATCTCCATCGTCATCGGCTGCGTCCTCGGCCTCGCCACCATCATGGCCTGCGAAGTCCTGCTCTACCGGAAGCAGATCCCCAACTATCCGCCTCACCGGGTTCCTCCCGAGCACAGGCTGTATCCCGCCATGTTTGGCAGCTTCGGGCTGCCCCTCGGCCTGTTCTGGTTTGCATGGACGGCTCGGCAGGGTGTCTCTTGGGCGATCCCGGCGGCGGCGATTATCCCGTTTGCTTGGGGCAACTTGTGCGTGTTTGTGAGCACGATGCAGTACACTACGGATACGTTTACGGGCAACGTCGTTGCGAGTGCGTCCAGCGCGAATAGTCTGGCAAGATATGGGTTTGCGGGCGTGTTTCCCTTGTTTACGATTCAGAGTGAGTTTGGTGTCGTTTGAACTCGTCCAGCTACGCACATGCAGATTTACTAACAGTCTCCGATAGTGTACACCACGCTGGGCATTCACTGGGCCAGCAGTCTCTTGGGCTTCATTGCTCTAGCTTTGATTCCTATTCCCTGGGTGCTCTTCAAATTTGGGCCGAGAATCAGGGCCAAGAGCAAGTTTGAAACGCACAAGTACGAGTAAATGAACTCGGGAATAGGTGAATGTCTGCTTTGGCCGGGGGTACATACAGAGAGGGCATAACAAGATAGATATACACGATGATGATTTTTTGGAAGTATCACAAATGATTAGAACGTAATAGCGCAAACAATAATAGACAAGCGATTGCTTTGATATGCATGACATATGAAGGCACTTACACATTCCACACTTTCCAAATATATATATACATGACCCCTTTACTCCATCTCAACCAACAACTCAGTCAACATCAATCTCCTGCTCCGGCAGCGGCTCAAAGTTCTCATCCAGATAAAACCACTTGTCATACTTAGCAGGCCTCTCCTTGGGCGTCTTAACGTCCGACTTCTTGGGCAGGTCAAACTTCTTGGTGGCGTCCTTGCTCTTGACGTAGCTCCCTTGCACGTCGGGCTGCGACGTCTGCGCGATGCTGATCTTGCCGGGGTCCTCCTTGCCGCTGACGAGATCCTTCCAGAAGCCGTGGCTCTCGGCGACGATGTTGCGGGCTGTCGCGGAGTCTTGGTATTTGTTGCCGAAGATGGTGTTGAGGCTGCCGCTGCGGAGGACTTTGTAGTACTGCGTTTTGTTGTCAGCTGTGTTTCCTCTTTTGATGGGGTGGTGGAGAGCTACGGTGAACCAGTCGTAAAAGGTCTGCTTGAGGCCGGGGCGGTATGTTTCGAGGTCGTCGATGGCTGACTTGTTAGCATTTGGCTGCTGTTACTGAGATAGTGTCTTACTCTCGAGTTTCTTCGACAGGGGATCGTTGATGTTGATGCCAATGACTTTCCAATCCGTGGTCTCATCCTGTAAAGTCATGTTAGAGGAGGAATCATGATAGAAGTTAATTATTTTGAAAGAGAGCAGATACGAACATCAATCATGGGAATGGCACCCAGAATCTTAATCGTCCTGACCTGGCCAACATAGCCGGGGCTAAATGACCGTCAGCTGGCCAGTTCATTCGTAGTCTAACTCATCAACACCCACTCAATGGCACTGATGTCAACCACATCCATGGGGTCATTGTCGCCAATGTACCCAGTAAAGTTGTGCTTGATGTTGGAGTTCTCCCACGTTTGGGGCAGCGAGCCATAAAGGAAGGGATATGACTTGTGAGGCCAGATGCTGGCCACGTACCGAGGTACGTCGTCCTTGTCGTCGTGAAAGATGGGGTCTGAAGACGTTGATGGCGATCAGCATTTAGGAAAGGTGGGTGCAGCTTGCAACATACTCAAGGGCTTGTCACGCTTGGTCTCAATCTTGGCATCCGTCCATCGAGGAATCTCGACATAGATGTTGACAATGTTGTTCTGCTTCTCGTCGGGGTAGAGCGGAATGTCGTGCCAGAAGGAAATTGGGTCGCCGTCCTGCTCGAGCCAAACGCGCCAGTCCTGCTTGCCATTAGATGCTCGCACTTGATAACTGTTGCCTCATACGTATAGACTTTTCACTCACCACTGTGTTGCGTGCTCCAACTTCTCTTAGAGAGAGAGACTTGATGTCAAAGCCCTTCTTGTCACCCTTGTCTTTTCCCTTTGCAGTCGCCGTGAAGACAGGCGCAATGGCCAGGTTCAGGAGATACAGAAACACGAGCGAACACATAGTGACAGAGGGCATCGTTGATGAACCCAATAGTTGGAGTCACGAGTATTCAAGTCTATTGCTTTATGGGCTACCAGGGTATATATACACACATACCGCAGATCGAGGCGTTGAGTCTGTAGAATAACCCAGCTTAATGACACTGCAACATTTCTCAAAGCAACAAACGCCATATGCTGCCCATTACTACGCAATGCAACCATGTGTGAGCCAATAAGACGACCTCAAGCCCATCAACAAGCTCATCAGGGCGGATCACTGAACCGCTTCGCCTCCCTCCATCCTCGTCCCTTGCAGACAAAGACAACAAACGGAGCCTCATGTACGTTGATACCTAGGATGCCAAGTGCCCGTTCAGCCACTCATGCCTTGCCAAACCCCCACGTGTGCCTGAACATCGCACATGTACAGCATCATGTCCGCAACAGCTGAGAGTGTCCGGTTTCCTGAAATAGACAACGCTCACGCGCGAATCCGAGCTTAATCTTTAAGCATATGAGAGGCAGCTCATTGGACGGCATTCAGCATCTTCGGTGGCCCAAACGGGCAATTTGCCTCTCTGGTTGCAAGGGGGGGGAAGAGCCAAGATGCCAAGGCTTCACGAGGTATTTAACCGCACCTGAGCTTCTCTTCGAGTGACCGAATCGAGAGAGTATTGGAATAAGATGGCTCGTAGGATTATTAGTGTTCGCTCTATATTATCAGCTGCCGAGTTGCTTTCAACAGCCCTTGGCGACTCTGTATCAATCCAGTTGGACAGTTGTGCCTTGGCTTGGTGAACTTGCAGTGTAGCATTGGCGGTGTCACTACAACTCAGTGGCGACAACAGTGAGGTTGGGTACCATATCTCACAGCCTGATGTGAGAATCTACGAAACGTTACCCAAAATAATCACTCAGTTGACTGAATCTACTTGGGATACACGAATCATAGGAAAGCTGGGGCCATATTACATAGCAGTCACTCAAGTTTCCATTTGTGTGTAACGTCCACGACCGCTGATTCCACCGCCAGCCAGATCACCGAAGATTCCTGGAGAGTTTCAAGACAGTTTATCAAGCCATTGGACAGAAAAGCTAAAGCTACTTGACTCAGAAGATTGCAGAAGAGGAATGAAATGCCTGAATACGGCCACCTCCTGTAAGCTTGCGTAGTAACTTTGGCATTGCATCTACATCTTCCACCAGCAACTCAGCCATAATGAAGAGCAGCAATTGGTTAGCCTCCTGTCATTTGGCAGATATGACAGACAGTACATGATCTCTTTGCCGTCATGGAAGGTATCGCAATACAGCACATCCTACCTCTTGATTTCACTCTGCTTGGCCCTGAAAGTGTACCTCAAGGTCTGTCGACACGCCTACTGTCTGTCTCGATATCTGGTATCTACACGCTGCCATGCTGTAAGAACTTCACCCGGCTGCGTTGGCTAGCCTATTCCGCCTAATACCAGTATTAGAGGCAGCATATTCATTATCTCCTCATATACCCATACTTCATCAAAGCGACATCCGAAGGGCACAGAGTGGTACACTATAGACTCGAAGAGTTGGCCCTGCACGCGGGCTTCAGAAACGGCCTTATCACATACCGAACAGCATCACATATAACTCCTGATCACAAAAAAACTCAGAATCATCACGTTCGTACCTAGCCAAGTCAATCAGACAGATTCGACTCCAGATTTACGCTCTTCCCGGCCCCATCTTCTCTACCAAGCCCCATCACTCTCAGCTGAAAAGCTAAACCTGCAGACAAAATCGAACCGTTCTAACTCCGAACAGCGAAAGATCACCATCGGCAACTCCCACGATAATATAACGGAGAAGATGCTCACATTTCCGATTCCTCCAGCCCCTCTCTCCATACTCTGTCTCCTCTTCCCCCAACCTTGATCTATCCCCATACAAGCTATACCGTTTGCGCCCTCTACAAGGCAGCGATACAGGTATTGGAGTAACCAGCCGCAAACGCCCGCTTCCAAAGCCCCTCGTGCAGATCCAGACGCTTTCACAGTCGACTTTTCCGAACAAACTGTCTGTTCGAAGGATGCCTTCCCCGTATTATAGCATGCCAAGCGTGGGGAAGCAAAGGAGGGGAAAGTGGAGGGCGAAGGCGTTTGAAGAAAGGCACATGAACACTGCATTTTACGCGGAGAATGGATTTAGAAGGCGGGTAGAAAGCAGTACCTGAAGCTGAACCTATCTCGAGGGCGCCTTTGTACGATATACTTCAATCTCGCAGTGGAAAAAAAAGTTGGCAGATATAGCCAGAACTACAGATCTCTGACTGAGTGAGACGAATGATATGCCATGACTCTGGCCCAACGACCGCACCACCAGGCTTCAATCTTCAGACAGCATGATCTATGCATAACCGCCTTGTTCTTCCAAATATCTTCCGACAAACGTCGAAAACGACCCATCCTGGTTACCAAAATAGCCTCTATCTTGCCGTCTGAACCACCCACTCAACCATAGAAACTCCCCCGCAGAGTACGAAGATCTTGACAGACTCAATTCAGCTCTTTAGCTCATCGGCCAACTTCCGTAGCTCTACCCCAATGCCTCAATACAGTAAGTCCCACCGAAATGCCGATACGGAGTAAAAGAAAAAGTGGCTTGTATAGGGCCCTAACGGCGCGGCGGTTTCGTCTCTGGAGACGGCACTGAAGACAGAATGACCAGGGTTGAGTAGGGCAAAGGAGATGGTCGGATATGTTACATAATGACTAGTCACCGTCTTATTGGGATCAGAATACGTGTAATGGGGCGTTGAGTCGATGCAAGGTACCTGTGATCACAGAATGGTAGAGAGTTCAAGACTTAAAATCTTCATTGTAGCGTCATAATTCATAAGTGAGATAACCGAGCTGCTCCCAAACCGGAGACTGGCGGAATCTTGCGTCAGGCCTCATCACGCCTTCTCCTCAATCTGCTGAACATGCCCATACTCCTCCTCGGCAGCCCTCTGCTTCTCATCAACAGCCATGTCCTTCTCCTCGGCATGCTTGTTGCCGTGCAGACCAATCTTGTACCACGGGAGATCAAACAGCCGGTCCATGCTCTCCAGGGATCGACCGCCGGTTTCAGGCACAAAAAACCACACCCAGAAGCCACCCAGAACGGTGACCGCAGCAAAGCACCAGAAAGTTCCCTTGGGTGAGATTCCGCCTTGAGCGACGTCGAGGAGCATGACGGGCACGGCACGTGAGTTGCCGTACTGGTTGGCAAAGTGAAGCGTCATGGCCCACGACGTGGCCAACGCACGAACACGTAGAGGGTACAACTCGGCAGTGAGCAGATATTGCATGGAATTCCAGCCGAGAGCCCAGCCGCAGCCAGAGATGTAAATCATGGCAACAGCACCTCGACTGGCGCCCTTCAGGGACTCGGGCAGAACATAATCATCATCCACGCCAAGTCGAGGCACAGCAGTGAGGAAGCCAGCAACGTAAATCATGGAAATGGCCTGTAGCGTAATGCCAGACAGGAGGGCGCGCTTGCGGCCAATGACATCGACGAGAAACAGGGCGCAGATCATGGCCGCCACAAACTTGACAATGCCGAAGACGGCGGTGACAAGCAGTGACTCGTTTGTCCCAGTGATGCCCATGATTCGGAAGAGATCGGGCGCATACAGGGTGATGGATCCCGCACCAGACCACTGAGAGAGCAGCTGCACCATGGACGATAGATAGACACGGTACAGGTTGCTCTTGTCGAGGAGGAGCTCCTTGACCTTGCCGAGCCAGCCAACACCTCGACTGGCTTCCAGCTCATGATCAAGGCCAGCCTGGATCATGCCAATTTCGCGGAGAATGTACTCGCTGTCAGGAGATTGATGGCGCAGTCGTGCCATGTTGTGAACCGCCTGATCGGTTTTGCCCTGCTTGACGAGGAAGCGTGGCGATTCGCACTGGAAGAAGGACAAGATGAAGATGATGCCGCTCATCATGATATGCAGACTCGTGGGGATGAGCCACTGGTCCGGGCTGTCATCGCTAAAGTGAAGCTGGCATCCATAGTTGGCGAAATAAGCCAGTAGAATGCCGAGATAAACAGCACCGGTGAAGAAGCAGGTGCAGAGACCACGAATTGATGCGGGCGCGATTTCAGCGACATAGATGGGACTGTAACGGCGCAGTTTGTTAGTATAAAGCACCATGAAGCTGAAGATAATGATGCGCTCATACTGACCCCACAACAGGCGTCTGTCCGACACCAAGGCCGGCGATGAACCTGCCAGCATAGATGGCTCCCAAGTTACCGCGGGCGCCTCCAATCATGAAGATCATGATGCCGACAGCCCAGGTCACACAGAGGACTCGCGTAGCGTTGAGGCGGCCAATGCGGTCGCATATCAGAAAGGCACTATAGCAAAAGAAGATGGTCATTCAGCAACCGATCGTCGCAGTGGTTGTGGAGAAGTTGAGGTTACAGGGAAGAGGCGGTGACTTACATCAAAGCACCGGCGACAGAGCCGATCTGGACCATGGCAGAGACATTGGCCTTGATGTTGGCCTGGTCCACCTCGTCGTACGAAGCATAATGGATGGATTCCTTGAAGTTGTCCGAGTTGAAAGCGCCAGAGATCAAGCCTTCGTCGATACCCCGCGCAGCCCCCAGCAGGCCAAAGGAGAAGACGGCGAACCAGAGGCGCCAGTTCAGCGCTCCCTCAGGCTCGCCCAAGTCTTTCAACTTGAAGATGTTGACCGGTTTCTTTGCCCCGACACCCATTGTGGCAGCCTTTGACGTGCCTGGGTAACCAGCAGTGTTGCAAGGCCAATGGGAGGAAAAGGCTGATGGCTGCAAGGGCTGAGAGACAAGGTTTGGGCCGTGCACCGGATGATGGCGAGTCGAGTGCTGGTCTATCGGTCATGGACAACGCAGAGGTCTCACCTTGGGGAGATGCCACGCTTTATACTCGTACGCATTCGCCAGCGTCCACACTCTCCTCTTCTTCTCGTGATCAACAGACCCCGTTCTCGTCTCCAGATGCGCTGGAAGTGCCCACATCTGCGCAACGTCGGGTTGCCCCGGATGGACGTGTCGCCGTACAGCACAACATCCTGCCCCATCTCGACACCACTCTGGCATCTGCAACCGGATAACACCCAAGTCGTGGCCAGGCGCTGACCGATGCCATGGACATCTCCGACGACTACCGGATCAGGCAAGACTTGCCGTACCCCGCATGTTGCCCTCTGATGATGTTTGAATCTGCCATGACTAGCTGTAGGATACTGGTGCTCCGCAACATCTCCACGAATCTGTTGGTCGTGACAAATGAAGGCATCGGACGTGGCGCCCCATACGAGACCTTGCCGTCGGAATGTCGTAGATCGGCTCTGGCTAGTCACCACCATGCCGGCCCGCCAAGAAGTCTAATGTCTAGTCAATCTGGGGTCTGGTGAGGGGAAGCCAGACCGACGCCGGGGTTGGAGACTGCGGGGGGTCGGACAACCTCCGTCATGAATTCGGTGAAAACCAGGCAGCGGGCTCTCAAATTCTCAGCTTCATCTCCGTCCCGTGTTTTCTTCTAGCTGAGGACTAGATAGCCAGGCTGGGAAAGAATTGCAAGCTTCATCCATGCCTGAGGTCAAGGGTATCAGCCGGCAAGTTCAACGTTCAGGATCTTCGGTCACGTTCAGTAAACGGATCGCCTTCCCAGGTAACACGGCAGCCGGCAACCGTCGAAAATACAACGCATTCGGCATCACTTCGATCCGGCCGGGTAGAGTACAGGTTGATCTTGCTCTATCGAATGAGACCGCTACATGTAGGTAAAGCTTCGAGAAAAGGGCCACTGGTAGCTGCGTCGTGATGGCAATTTCGACTTCAATCCCTCGCTCGTCAGATGGTCGCTCCAAGAGTTCCATAAAATAAGAGTGCCACATCCGCCGTGCTTCGAACCCAAAATCCTTCGCCCTGGCCTGGTCGAGGCATGACGACTTGGTACGAGAGGGTGATGCTTTCAAAGACAGGTGATTGGCTTGCTGTTCCCTAATATGCGAGTCATTGGCGTTCGGGATCAATGATCCCTGGCCAGACTCGTGGATGGTAAGCAAAGCCAGCATGGTTCGTCCGACCAAACACCGATTGGCTCGCAAGTGCGTGAAGCGATTATCTCGTGTGGTCCTCAGCGACTTATCAGATCCAGTACCGGCCCCAAAGAGCGTATTCTTCCTTTGTGCCTCGGAATTGGAACTTGACCTCCGTCACGTCCTGGAAGCCCTCTTTCTCTTTTGGCTCTTTGAACCTCGATGCAAAGCCGGTAAAGGCCAGCTTAGGTAGACTCTCCCTGGACTCGGGATTGAGTGCAGCGTTGTGCGCCCGAACGGCATCGTTGTGCTCACATACCATGACCGGCGTTGAGAACCAAACACATCGTATTGGAACGCTCGCTTTTTTCGCAACCTCAACCCACAAGGCCCGCGTCTCGGGATCCGGATTGGTGTTGTCTATGCTTGCATGTTAGCGTCTATCAGCTTCATCCGGAGCTCGTACAGCAAGGATCAAGCATGAAATGGCCAGTAGCGGAAAGCGAAACAGCACGTACCAATAGCTACAGACTTGCCAGCTTTCAGCAGGTCTTTGGCAGCTTGAATGCACTTGTCGCGAGTTTTGAGCGTGTCTTGATTCACCCGTTCATATCCGAGGGGCTTAAGGACTTTAAAGTAGAACGTGCTCTTCCCAGCGCCAGGAGGACCGCAGAACAAGACGACATCCTGGTCGTTTTTCTTCACAAAGAGGTCCTCGGCAGTACCAAGCGCCGCTTCGTCTTCAGGAAATGCAAAGTTTACCAGGTCAAACTCGCGAATGAAGTCCCTAGGCTCCTCTCCCAGGAAGAATTCTTCGGGCGTTTTGTAGTCGATGCCTACATTATGAGCAAAATTCCTGTCGGAGCAGCTAAAGTCCTTTGGTACGGCTGCTGCTGCTGCACCGCTGTCTCCTTTCCCAAGCAACGCGACCCGGCCGCCCGCGTCGCCAACAAAGAAGCTCCCTTTAAGGTCGACCTCTTCCTCGGGGATTTCGAGATCCTCGCAAAGCTCCTTCCACATGCCTGTCCTTGGCTTCCGGTAGATGTCCTTTTCTGTGGCCGCATAGACGGCTATCGGAAGATCGAGAGCTGTGAGTACAGCATTACATTTCTGTTTGAAGTCTGCGACGCGCTTTTGAACGGCAGCCTTTGGGCCCTTGTACTTTGCATCGAAATGAAGCTTCAATCCGGCCTGGTTGGAGAGGATCGCGACATGGTAGCCTTCCTTCTCGTAGAGCTCTCGTAGCCGACCGGGCACTTTGCTGTCCCACCATTTCCAGTCTGCTCCGCTGGAGGCGTGCTTCTTTCCCGACGATGTAGTGATTAGAGTCGAGTCAAGGTCGAATGCGGCTATCTTCCGTCGCTTTTGGCGAGACGTCACGTCGTCATTCTCGGGCTGGTATCTGCCGACCAAGAGGGTTGCCGGAACGTCATCGGTAGGGCCTCGTTCTGACCACACGGTTCGGTCTTTGGGTTTCTGGGAGGCGGGCGTGAAGAAGCTTGCAACAGCCGACTCTAGGAGAGATCAGTCAATCATGGGCATCCAAGCATACAGGATAGCACAGGTCGTATGTACTTGTAGTTGTGCTCTTGACGGCCTTTTTGAGGGGAGGAGGGGAAATCGGAGCACCGGCGTCTTTGCGCTTCCTTGGGGGGCTTTTGGTAGCCATTGTTCGACTGCCAAACACACAAGAGACGCCGATGTATGGTATTGTATGCCGAATCAGAGGAAGTGTGCGCAATGAAAGCATTTGCATTTGCCTCCAGAGGCTGGAAATTGATAGCTGAGCGAAGACGGAAGAACGAAGCCTGGAGGCCGAGACGCGCACACAAATGCGACAGCAGCGCGTGATCACGTGCACCTGGACAGCAGCACTCTAAGCTCAAGGTACGGTACCCTAAGCTTCCCTCACCAGGTTGTCCGCATCCTTCAGAGCAGCAACATCAACTTCTCGAAACAACGTCCGGCTCACCACAAATAACGCCATTAGGCCTCCATTGAACACTCCAGCCTCGGCTGATTGCAGGACTGCAAACGATACAGACCCAGCTCGCGCATAAGTCCTTGGCTGGCGCAGTCTCCCCTCACCATGTACGAGCTGTTCCTCACGGCGCTCGTCGAAGACAGCGATATCAACACAGCCCTCGCCGTTCTCAGCGGCTTCTGCTCAATGCAGCCATGGGAGTCCACCAGCCGAGTTCTCTACTTCCAGGGCCCTTCTCGGCCATCAGGAATAACGAACCAGCGCTCCCTTGAGAAGCCCATCCGCAAGGACGTCGCCCAGCTCTGGAAGGAGCTGCATCAAAACCTCTCTCGTCAATCTTTTGTTCTCCAGGCGCGCTATGAAATCCTCAAAGACCGGGATTTAGGCCCTTCCGCCGAGCCAGTGGATCTAGACACTGTTCCAGGCATTCTGAGATGGACAGATTTTCCAGATCCTCCTCGCAATCAGCCGCTCCTCGCTCAGCGAAAGAAGGTCGAACTCTGGGATCAAAGGAAGCTGCTTTCCGTGCTGCAAGAGAACAATCACCAGTCAGCCTCACGCCTCCCTCGTGTGATTCGCAATGCTAACAAGGCGCAGGCTCAAGACAGAGACGGTAGAAGAAACGTACCGCTTCTTTCGCGATGACGTGGAGTTTTGTCTCACCAGACACTACTTTGTCGGACCGCTTGAGAATTATGTCCCTCTGTCATCCAAGCCGGCAGCTCCCACAGCGCCAATGCCTACACTGCCGGCCTGGGACTCTCTCACCCGTGTAGATGCGCAAAATCGCTGGATTCTCCAGGTCAAGGCACATGTTGTCCAAGACAACAAGCCAGATGAGATCAAGAAGGCACAAGACCAGCTATTGAAGTTTCGCGCGGATCTCGAGGGCGTCTTCGATTTCAAAGTCTTCGACCGCAGGGTGCACGACACTCGAGTGGCTATGCAGCCGCAAGGAGTTCAGGCTCTCCCGCAGAAAGTGCTTCTTGGGAAGTCATGATCATCGCAAGTATCATGTCGCGAGTCCAACATGACTTGATTGCCGACGTCTTGATCGGCGGACACATTTGACTTCGTCTGCCTTTCGTTCCGACAGCGGTTCCATGACAGCTAGCACAGCTTTTTCAACACACCGTCCGCGTCTGTCACCATGGATATCAACTAGCCACGCCAATGCCGACAATTTCTTCTTACCAAAGGCCTCACACTTGCTCCCTGAAATTCGCCAAACTCGATCAGCAGCCCGGACCAGCTACGAATACTTATGCTCATTTGCATCTCGGCAGAATCACAACGGCAGTAGGATGAAAGGATGAATTTAGAAAAATGGGTATCTTCAACGGACAGACACCACTAATGCCCGTGTATTGCAAGTAAGGCTAGATTACAAGAACCACCACTTCAACCTCCAACCCGCGTCTCCTTCTCCCCCTCCAATGCCTGGCTCTTCCCTTAGTGCTGGACGAGGCCAAGGACCTGAGACAGGTTCTTGATGCCGAGAGCGACCTCGAGGGAGACAATCTGGCCGTTGGTGGCAGCCTTGAGGTAGGAGTCGACAGCGCCCAGGTCGACGCCCTGAGCAACCATGGCGAGAGCCTCACCAACGGTCTGGACAACGTTGTCGACGTTGGCGGTGGCAACGACCTTGCCCTCAACACCCTGGGCAAGGCTGACAAGCTTGGCAGCCAGGGTGACGGGGAGGACAGCCTCGATCTAGAAGCATACATGTAAGCATCGCTGTACCGGGAAGAGGGATGGATCATGGCTTACCTTGGCGACAATGGGGCCAAGGAGGCCAGTCAGCTGGGTCTCGAGGGCGACAACGTCGACAACAACACCCTGGGTGATGCCTCCGAGAAGGCCACCAACCTCACTGACGAGAGTGCGGCGAGCTGTCGAAGAGTCAGTATTTGAGGCCATTGATGGGGATGGACGGATCACGAACCGAGAGGGGCAGCGAGGCCAGTGCCGACAAGGGCGGCGACAACAACGGTGGCGAGAGAGAAACGCATTTTGGCGGTGGTTGGAAGTTGGTTTTTAAAAGTACTAAAAGAGTGACTGTGCGAGTTGCTGTGCAAAAGAGTGACTGAAGGCGAAGTGCTTGCTGATGATGAGAAGAAGAGAGGAAGTTGTGGGAGAACTGGTCGTCCTTATATCCTCCGAGCTCTCGTCCCCGTCTTGCTACCCATCATGTATCCACATCATCTCGTTGGCTGATCGGCAGTCATGTCGTTGCAGTTGGACATACAGGATGTGGGCAATATCCGGCGTCAATTGAGATGCTCCTTGGCCAGCTCGCTTAGCACCAGACGAGCATCGCGATGCAGACTCCTATTACTGGGTGCCTGCCAGCAAGCATCACGATACGGCAGCCAACACATGGCGGCACTCACGATACAGCACCCATGGTTTGGTCTCACAACGGTGCCGATCTGTTCAGGCACATGAGTCGCTCATTGGCGCAGCGGGAGGCGATGACATAGGAGACGACGGAGAAAGGGGGATAGAATGAAGATCGCAAGTTCTCTTCCAGGTTTGGGTGTGGGGAGCTGGTAAAGGAGCTGCTCTGGTTAATTTCCCGATCTTTGTTATACCCGGGTTGTCCGGGGGGTTGAAGAACACGGTGCAACGGTACGCGAAATAGGGACCGTTGAAGATTTCGAGGTACAATATGTGAAATGCGATAACTCCGTCAGAATGTGAAGCTGAAAGGCTATAGACACAGACAGAACAACAACCCTCATACAGAATACTCTGTATGAGGGCTTGGTCAACTGTGAAACGGTGAAGCTGTGATGGAGCCATCACAGGATACCCCAGAGTCCGGACCGGGATTCATCTGCCCCCGCGATCGGCACATTCATAGTGTCTGCACTAATGAAGAATGAAACCGGCAGTTTGACGTCTGTTCTGGAAAAAGGTGTAACGGACTGGGTTGATGAGCAAATGGCAGGGCCTATTTTCAGCTTGTCTCCCTGTCTACGGAGTAAGCTCTCCACCAGTTACCATTTCGAGTCATGTGTTGTTGACCCAAGTCGATGGATATCCAACGTTGAACATGGGAGCGAACACTGCCAAACAACCTCGGAAGGATGTTTATTCTTTGCATCATCAGGCATTATACCAAAGACATAAACAAACAGCTTCTTCCTGCAACTTGGTCGTTTTCAAGAGTGAGATCTCGGTGCCCTTGTTAGTGAGAGGAAACCCATGAGAAAACCTGCACAAGCGTCTGTGAACCCCCGCCGATCGACACGAGTGCATGAAGCCAGACAGATCCCAATATCCAAAAGCGGCTTGCTGAAGAAAAAGTGCTGTCAACGACGTCAGAGGGAGCCAAAACAAAGGGGGCTGACACTTTTTTCCCGGATGAATAACCGGTTCCTGAATATCTCGTTATGTTGATCTAATCTGAGGCCTTTGGTGTATGGGGCAATTTGACGATGCATTGCGATCTACAACAGAGGGTAACCCTCACTTCGTCTAAGGTGGTTGCCTCCCCCCATGAAGCAGCAACAAGGTGAATGACCTCGTCAACGGCCTACAGCAACGGGGCGCTTGAAGCTCGCTACCCGGTGATGCCGAAAGTGCTTCTCCTATCGGGGTTTTGTATTCGATGCGATGCCCGTGGACCAACGGCTTCGTGTCATGGGGCCAGAAACGGCCTGCACAAAGCCATGCGCACCAAGCGTGAAGAAGTAATACCGCTTTCACGGAAAAGAATCCGGCATCGTGACTTGAGCTATTCAGTCGGGCGTCAAGAGAGTGAAACAAGAGATATCATCATGTATCTCGCATGTGAGATCTGAGTTGAATAGAGTGCAGGAATCAGCCGATCTGATAAGAACGTGCTTACATGTAAGCAAAGTGTAAACTCTAGATATCTAGGTTATCTGATTGATCACTTTTCACATTGAGTCTACATGATGGAGACACGTGTCTTCGGGTATGTCGAGATGACATGCTCAGCCATCTTGCATATCCTTCCGCAGTGAAACAACTTCGTGTCTACCCTATCATGAATATTGATGCCTATCAAGATCCGCGTCGGGTGGCGCCGAAAAGAGGCTTGCTTCAACGTACAAAGCCAAGAAATGCCACGGCCGATCTACAAACTTACAATACTTTCCGTCTATGCTTAAGCATGGCATCAAGGACATGCCAAGTTGTAGTACTAGTATTGCTTAGGTGCCGGCAGTTTGGTGATTCCAACTGCCTACTTGGTCAAGGTTTGCAAGGGTGGAAGAGTTGGATGACTTTGACGTGTCAGTTTGAACACGATGATTGGTATTTTTGCCAGGACATATCCCGGGGAGTCGGACCAGGAGATTGAGAAGCATGGAAGCATGGGAATATAAGCCATGGCTGATATTTTCCAGGTTAAGCCCGGGGATGCCCTAATCAAGCCTCCATCGCATCCTCGTGGCTTACCAGGCCTCCAAAAGGGCGGGTCCTGCGGCTGTGTTTGTGATATCGGCTTTTGTCAAGGTTCCGCGTGGGAAGTCCTTATGAACGCGCCAGAAACATGACCAGGCTCACGGGATATTGAAGCTATCCGCATCCGACTACACACACACACAATATCCCTACTCATGGAGTCGTTATTCGGCCGGGACTTTGATTCCCCTGAAGACGCCCGGGCCGCCATCGATGCCGTGGCGCAGCAGCTCGGCTACAGCTTCACCAAGCACCGGTCCAGGCCAAACAGCGTCGAATTCCGCTGCAGCAAGGGGCGAAGCTTCAAGTCGCAGCAGAACCCGGATCTTCCTGAGAGCCGCCGCCGGCAGACAAGCTCCCAGATGACGGGCTGTCCGTACAAGCTCGTCGTCAGTCGGCATCATGCTCTCGCCCGCTGGGTTATTCGACGGACCCGGAACGACGACTCTAATGAGCACAACCATCCGGGTTTTCCCTCAGCAGCGCATTGTCGGTATCGGAATATGGTTATTGAAAAGAGGAAAGAGAGTATTATCGCTCTGCATAATGCTGGGGTCAAGCCCATGCAGATTCTCAAGCAATTGGAGCTCGAAGCTGGGGCGAATGTTGAAGGCCTCACCCGCTATGACGTCTACAACGCCATACGAAAGTATCGTCAACAGCAGGTATGAGACGTTGAGTATGTCAAAGCTCATACGAGCCTGTCATGGCCGGATGATCCAACCAATCTGTCTCTTCCAGACCGACACCAAGCTGCTGCAGACGGGGAGAAGCGCGTACGACCCTTGTCACGCCATCACTCCGCCGCGTGAAGCCCAGGCTGTCCTATGCACGGAAAATTGCACGAAAATCCGGCATATAGTGAACGGGCTATTGTATGATTCACGAACCAGTTTGCCGAGAAACAGAATGAAGAAGCATTCCAAGGGTGATACAATCCATTGACGAGTTTGGAGTCTAAAGATCTGTTGGAGATACACCACACCGCTCAACGTTAGCTCCAGGTCAATAACAGGCAGCAGCACCGAGATCGAGGTGCACAATGTATTCTTCATGCCTTGTTCATCATCCATGATCTTCATGAAAACGACAACTTTCGACACAACCTCGGTCACTTTAACGGCCGTTATGGAAAAGGTCTGCCGGCACTCAGATGTCTATGTTGACGCCTCACCACATGCGTCCAAAGTCGGCTTCAAACGCGCAACGGGGAGACAGCGTCTGCTGGCGGCAACCGAACATGGACGTGTCAGGAAAACACTGGAGTTGCTTACGGCAAGAGAAGCCTTTGTAGATGAAATGACCTTCCCTGGGCCATTGGTCCTCCCCGATGATGACCTCGCCGAGGACCCAGACTGCCCGCCCCAGGACTTGCGAGAATGGAGAGACGCGGAGACGCGGAATCCAGTCACTCCACAGCGAAAGACAGTCTACATCGTTCCAAGTCCATCCATTGCTCCAGAAGTCTCCAAGATGCAGACGTGGTCTGTCCGCAGCACGCAAGCCGCAACATCGAAACACGATATGCAAGCTACCGAGGCCCCCAAAATCACTGACCTAATGGAATACTTGTCCGCCTTCTTCCACGGCATGCCCGTCAAACTCTTCAAACCACCCTTCCAATGGCAGAAATGGAACAAGTACGACGGCGCAATCTCAAAATCCGCCCACACGCAGCGCCGGATCGGACTCAGGACCCCCGGCCGCCGGCTCTTCGGAATCCGGTGCCGTGCATCGCCGGACGGGGTGTCTCCCATGCAGGTCAACCTGGACGACGTCCTAGACGCCTTGGCGGAAAACATCCCGGCAGACGCGCATTCGATCATGATGCTGCTCGACTTGGACATGTACGAAGGAGACGGGGACATCTTCACCGCCGGGAGGGCATACGGGGGGAGCCGCATCGCTGCCGTCTCGCTGTTCCGCGACCAGCCGCTGTGTGCGCCTCCGGACGATAGCCACGCATGGCCGGCATCTCATTGCGCCAAATACGTCGACAGCCTCTGCCTTGAAGCATCTTCCCAGCCTCCAACAAAGAAGAAGATCAAACTGCAGCCCTCTTCCACCCGCCGCACAAGAACCGGATCCAGCGGCCCCCTGGACAAGGCCATCGAGGCAGTACAAACGACAGCAGCCAGAACATCTCCCGGCGGGATACCGCGCCCGGCACGACATGATGCTGCCGCCGGCGCCGGCGCCGCAACAGCTCAATGGCTTGGGAGGACGGCTGTGACCATGGCACACGAGCTGTGTCACTGCCTGGGACTGGCCCACTGCACGTACTTTGCGTGCGCGATGCAGGGGTGCGGCAGTGTCGACGAGGCGCAGCGGCAGCCGCCGTACGTGTGTCCCGTTTGTCTGGAGAAGATTTGCCGGGCGATAGGGGAGGGCGTCGTCGATGGGTGGGAGGGGGATAGGGGGGTGAGGGAGAAGTTTGTGAGGGAGAGGTATGTCAAGTTGAGGGGGGTTTGTGAGAGGTGGGAGGGGACGATGTTTGCTGCGTATAAGGCTTGGCTGGATGCTGTCCTTGAGGGCGAGATTACAGAGCGTGTTGGATTGAGTTCTTGTACTGAAGTGTAGGTACGGGTCAAGGATATCGGTGAGGAGATGGAGGGTTATGGGGGGTAAAGAGGTAGTTTGAGATACTGAGTGAACAATATAGTCAACAACTTGAAGGTGGCTAAGAGCTACTTTGATCTTATATTCGAGACGTGATGGTTGAGACAGCATCATTGCATCGCATACAAGTATCCTTAATTGCTTTCCAGGACAGAGATGCAGAAGATATGCATACCCATCAACACGCCCATCATGAAGCACGTCACGACCATCAAGCACAACGCTCACAAATTACCTGAAGCAGACGTGGGAGACTTCTGCCACCTTGAATCAGACTAATCATCTAAAGCAAACAACACATACACCGAGGGAATGAAGTGAAATCATCCATTCTCAACGAAGAGAGTTGTGAGCACCTTCCGAGAGACTCCATGCAAACCCTCCATGTAGCACTTTACAACACCCTTATGCATAATCAAATGGCCGTGTGGCTCAATGGCAGAGCGTCTGACTACGATTAAGTACATCAGGAGGTTGCAGGTTCGACCCCTGTCTCGGTCAAGCACATTCTTTTTTGTCCATTTCGACAACTTACAACATGAGAGAGGGCTCCATTCGTCTTGTCTCCTCTTTTTTTCTTTGTCTATTTCCCACTTTCTTATCTTCTCTTATTGCTCTTCAAATTGCATTGTAACATTTGCGTCGTGAGATAAGAACACCATCTACTATCTCAACAGCTTCTGTAACCTCGTTCCGCATGGTAGCATCTTTCAGAATCTCCCCCGCCGTAACATCCAACTTCTATCGTGTCTAGTGGGGAGACTGCAGGGAACCAAGAGTCTTGTCAAGGACATTTGTCCGAGCTCTCTTTCTCTTTTCCTTTCTTGTTTTCCCCGGTTTCTATTACTACTACACGAAAAGTAATGGTGTCGTCACCCCCCTCTAGTAGCTGCGATTGACCAGCCAGCTAAACCAGTCTAACAATCGCGGAGAGAAAATCTCTTCAAGCCCCGAGCTAGCACAGCTGGTGTCATTCTCATTGTACATGTACTGTTGCCCACCAACTTCTCAGGCCGCGTGTGTGTTGTCTCCAGCAAGGCGTGGAGATGCGAAGTTATTTCAGCATCAACCTATCCCGTATGTGAGCGAGTTCCAACTCGCCGTCTACTGTAGTGTATGGGAAAGCCCCCCGCCGATCCTTCTCGGTCACTGTAGCACAGGCAGATGAAGCTCCGATTGGATGAAGCCAGACGATGGGGGTAGGACGCGAGCAAGTTCAACACCGATACGGGCACAGCTATCAGTTGGTCCTCATCTGGCCCGGCGCCGTTCGTGGCGGCCTTGGGGGGGGGGGCGCTTCATTGCAGTGACCTCGGGATAGCCTCTTGTGGTTTTCCGGCAATTCTCTCAGCTTCGTCTGCTCAGTGGGACATGTTCATCCATGATGTTGACCTGAAACAGAAACAAATCATGCATGCGTAAGGTACTCATCAAGAATAAGGGCTTGTAAGCCGGTTGGCGTTGGCATATTGTAGCACACCACCGGCAAGTGATATATGTAGGCTGTGCAGCATAAGGCATGCGGGCAGCAACAAGCGACTTCTCGCTGATGAGCTCCCCAAATAAGCAGCAGCAGAAAACTCGGACGGATTTGCCTCGGCCTGGCGGTTGCAAAGCAGGGCTTTGGGCTGGACGTGAACTAGTAGTAGCCGATTAGACAGAGAGGACAAAAAGCGGGAGGGCTTCCGACCATCCACAGCCTCGACGGTTCGCCCTATGGAAAGACGCACGCCTGCAATGCGCCGATGCAATGGCACGCTTGCTGCAGAGATTTTTCATTAGCATGAGATGACCGCCGTGATGATTGTGCATGTACTCTGGAAGGGTGGACAAAAAGGCCACAGGGCCGGAAAAGTCGTGGGGCCAGACGGCGAATTACAGCTCGCCACACGTCGCGGCAACGAGAGAAGAGAAAACAGGCGAGAGAGGGCCAGAAAAGGCGGCCCTCTATTACTTTTTACAACTTGTACGATATGTGAATTCACGGATACAACGAATGATATTGCGAGAAGTGCCTTCACATACAGTACATAATCTTACACATGCTGCAAGCCCATCACCATGTCCAGCGGTGAGAGGGAAGCTTTTGGTTCTCACCTCTTCTCGCTTACACGCGTGCAGCGACGAAGAGGGCAGTCGGCCATTGAGAGACGGCGACGACCACTCGGCAGCCGTCGGATTGGCCTGTATTCGAGTGCCAGCGCAGATGCTGTGACGGGGTTCTTGATCCGCCGGCAAGCAGCAGCAGCAGCAGGTCTTCTGGCTGGATGGGTCGGATCACACAACTGCATCGAGCCTGGTCCTCTTCGACTCAAGTATGAATTGGTCCAGCCCGCAGCTCGAACAACCAGCCAACCAGCTGTCGAGAGCAAGTCCACAAGCCATGACCATCACGGTAGGATATTTATAGGTTACTACCACTAACACAGGTGAGGTGGATAAGAGGACAAGAGATCCGTTCGGGATGATGCGATAACGGTGGGCTTGGAGCCCAGTTTTCCGGTTGACTGGGTCCGTTCACGGAATGCTGCCGATAGAGACCGAGAGCCATTGATTGACTGATTCATCGTGACGGCGGAAGAAGCCATTGGGCTCCGTTTTAAACCCACATGGTGGTGGACATAGTTCCAGTACTGTCTTGACTGTGCAAATTCGCTCCGGGCTCGGTGATGGAGCTCCGTTAGACAGCCGTCGACGCCGTCGAGGAAACGTTTTTTGCTAGTGCGTGAAAAACGGAGCATGGAATGACATAACGGACCACTGCTTGCAACGGAACAACCATATTTCCATCACCGGCGTCTTTCTTGTTTGCTTTGAAGTTTTCCTCAGAGCCACAAGTGGAGCAGCCGTGGCATGTCTAGCGTGTGATTCTGTGTCATTGAATGAACGATGCTAGACCATGAGAAAACTCTGCACTTCTGAGTGTTATTGTGTACGTAAATGCATGTAAAGAACAACAGAAAAGCCGTTGCTATCAAATTTCAAAGGAGCCAATTGAGTTCTTCCTCAGTCGAAGGAACGGCCTGTGAACAAGGCTTCATGTTACAACCCGACAGAGCATTGCTGAGCTGTCTGCTCTTCTTCTAGACTCCGAGTACAGTACCAGTCGACCATCATAGTCATTACAGGTTAGGCAACCCGATTCTACGTATTCCACGGGCCGGTCCTGTGGTGCTAGGACACTTGAGAGAATCAATCCACTCCAACCTTTCCCATCCCCCTCGGTCCCTTTCAAGTCCCTACCAGGATGAGATGAGTTGGCGACGCAGTGATTTGGGCACATACCATATGACACTGCATACCGCACTTATTCCCCAACCGTAGACACTTTGGCCGAGTGGTTAAGGCGATGCCCTGCTATCGACAGGTATCATAGGCATTGTGTTCGCACGCGCAGGTTCGAATCCTGCAGGTGTCGGTTCTCTTTTTGTCGTTTTTGCCCATTGATTCTGTCCATCCAGTTCAACCATCTTTTTGCTCCAATGCCATTCATCATCCGACGCCTTTAACATCCCCGGCTTCTTCCCCGTCCATCCCAATCCTCCTGATCCTCAAATCAAACCCTCTCCCCCTCCTTCAAACCTCAGCTAGCCCCGTCTCAGTAGTCTATCCCGTCAACATCGATGCTATTCACTCAAGCTTTCTGTTGGGCTCGGGAAGGCCATGCAAACCTCAGCCGGCCCGACAAATGGCAGCGCTGCCCAGCCCTCCCCCGTGGCCGATCTAATGCAAGGTACGCAAGGAAGTGAAAATGCCGCGGGATGGCTAGTAACCATCTCCGGGATTCTCTGGGCTTGCATGAGCGTCGTCAGCTTTCGGGGTTTGGAGCTCTTTAGCTGTAGCTACCCCTCAGCTGAAAGATGGTGATGATCTTTAGTAGAAGTCGTTCTTGATCCTGTATTACACGCATTGAGCTAAGGTATCTACCGATTACGGAGACCAGATGCCGAGCATTAGCGATGAGGGCATCGTCACGGTACGCTCGGAGCGAGCTCAACAGACGCCGCCAGGAACCAGCTTCACTCGCTGCAATGCCCATTGGCCAGCTGAAGGGTGATGGCTTACTGCGCCTTGCATGGCTTGTCCTAAAAGCCCAAAGCTCATCCTTCTGAAAATAAGAGAAGCATCCGTTAGGTACCTCCTAAGCAATCCAGATCCTTGCTCAAGGGTGCTGTATGGTGCTCATAGCTCCCCTCGAAGCTGCCCGAGCAAGCCACAACTGCAAGGTAGCTCTCGTCCAACCTCTGGGTTCTTTGTAATACAGGGACGGGCAACTTGTTGGATGAGTGGAGTTTTCGAGCAGAAGTTTAGTTGAAAAGGAATTTATCCATGCGGAAGTTGCTCCGTTCATGAAAATCCTGCATCGCCAATCAACGGCC